GGCCCCTGGTGCTTCTGGAGCCATCTCCATTTTCCGACTACCTCTCTCCGCTCATCTCACACTGATTAATTCCACAAGGCAGCTAAGTGTCACATTCAACTCCCAGGAACATATGACCATAGTACGTCAACGGTGGTATGGGACCCAGGGGAAAACAGGAGGACACAGCCGATGCTGCGAAAGCAGACATGAAACCATAGGGAGGCAGCAAGCTGAGGCTTTACTACTTCCCGAGCGCCAGTGCTACTACAGCGATGAGCTACTGAGAATAACAGTCTGTGTCACCCTAAGTGTCTTACCTGAATCCATGGAAAAATCTACAACTAGCCGGTTCCATAGGAATCGGTCAACTAGTACCAATATTAAGTCCCCTACCCTCAGACAGCGTAACGTCGGCTACTGCACAGCACACTGACCTTGTGAGACTGACTGTCAGCTGCCTATATGGTAATGTCAGAGGGCTGAGAAGGAAAGTAGGTGAATTCAGAAATTTCCAGTCACACCCAGGCCTTAAACTAATAATGGTCACTGAAACTTGACTAACCCCACCATCGCCGACGACGATGATGGGTGATGTTTCTGGTCAGGAGAGACAAGGATAACAAGGAAGGGGGAGTTACCATATACTTTGACAAGCAACTTAAATATGTGCAGTAGACCCAAAACTTACTGGACTCTTAGACTCCATATGGTGTCATTTGACCGTAGGTCACACCAAGCACTTACTGGGTGGCATCTAACGATCACCCATCTGTGAGGCAGAGCACAAAGGCTACTTCTCGGGGATACGGGACTTGGGCTATGACCGAATCACGATAGTTGGAGATTTCACTTCCCCATCCTTGAACCTTGGACGGGGTATGCTCAGAGAAAATTCTGGGGAGATCCAATACGAGCCATCAGAAATAAGGGACTGGCTGATAATGTTGGAAGAGACGCTAGGTGGGGCCATACTGAAAAGTTGTCGTCCTAACTGGTGGCCAACTACTTATCGAAATTGTTCAGATCATGACTTCCTAGAAAGTAGTGACCTCACGGCCATTGGATTCAATCCTCTTTCTTAGCGCTTATATTGAGACGCTGAGCAACCACGTTTGTGCTATAACAAGGCGGACTAAGTTGGAATGCAGAGGCTTTTGGCCGACTAAGAGTGGCTCATGGAATGGGCTGAGTTATCTGTGAATGAAGAGTGAGAAGTGGTGAAATGGATTATCCACGCAGCAGTCTCAGATACCGTTTCTCTAGTCATCACACAACCAAAGAAAAGGTCCACATGACTGAAGGGAGTTACACAACATATTCTGCGAGGAAGGTGAAAGGCTTGGTCTATGTGGTGAATATCCAACTGTCACACTGACCACAACGGACACCTGAAACTCGGGAACTGTCGCAACACAGCAGTCAAGAGGTACAGGAGATTATTTCAGGCTAACCTAGAGAATAAGCTGATGGAGAACTCTGAAATCCGATAACGGTTCGTGTTGGAGAGAAAAACAATCAACCAGGGGACATGCGACTTAGTAGTCGAAAAGGTTAATGCCTCACTAGTCTTGAAACATTCAGTTTAGTCTCCACCAAACAGTTAAACAGCATTACTGTGAGCATTACTGGTACGGACCAAAATGGCGGCACTGATGTTTCACCGGAGGAGAACCTAGTGGCTGCTCTCCAGATGGGCCCGACAAAAGAACTGAGGAAGCTGCAGAGACCCACATCTGGAAAGTCTCCAGGTTTTGATGACATCAAACCACCTGTTCCGAACGATTCGCCGAGACCCTCTGTAAGCCCTTGTGCCAATTGTTCCAACTCTAGATGGATTCAGAAAAAGTGTCAGGGAAGTGGAAAAGAGCCACCCCTTCGCAGATTTATAAGGACGGGAAAAAGGAAAATGCCGCCAGTTTTAGACCAGTAGCTCAACTCCCAGTGATATCAAAAGTGATGGAAAGTATAATTGACGATCACATCAGGGAGGACCTTAACAGCTTCAATAGACTCCCTGAAGCACAACATGGTTTCAGGAGAGGCAGCTCCTACGCAGCAAACCCACCATTAGCTCGGGACGAACGGACATCATGCTGGGATGTGAACGTTCCATTCCACGTGATCCGCGCGAACTTTGGGAAGTCACTTGACTCAGTTCGCCACGACGTTCTCCTACGCAAAATAAGTCAGGTGGGTACAGGTGAGCCAATTCTGTCATAGTTGAATGACTACCTGGCTGAAAGGTCAATGTAGCCCGACCATCCTGGCACAGCTCGTCATCAGGAGTATCTCAGTGCTGTGTCCTAGGGCCATTGATGTTTTTGACTTTTACCAATGACCTACGACGACGTCTAAGCTGCCCGACTCTTCTATATGCTGACGACGTAAAGCTATGAAGAGCGATAAAATGTTTGGAAGATTCAGATAGGCTGCAGACAGATCTAAAGCTTCTGCAAGACTTAGGTGGCCAGTGGTATGACTTTCAACTTGTAAAAGTGCGGAGTAGTGAAATTACTCACCTGTAGGCTGCAGAGTGCAAGTTACATCTTTTACAACGAAAACTTGCCCTGCAAAACTTTGGGGTGTGACTTAAGTCTAGTTCTAATGAAGCAAACGGAAACAAGCGTAAATTGCACGGGGACGTAGCGAGGGCATATGTGGTCATACGCTTTACACATAGACGGTTGCGCGCACTCACTGCTGAGTTCTTCCTAGGGTTACACAAAACATACGCTAGACCACACCTTGAAGTGCACAAGATGATAGCATTCCCACTGCTTAGAACAGGTTGGGTTGTTGATGTGCGTCAAGACGACAAGCTACCTAAACTGGCGATCAAGTTGCAAACCTGATTGATAAAATTCAGTTTGCACCAATTAAAGGACTGGTTAGACACATCACACTAGTTACTAGTGTCCAATGAAAGTATCCAATGTAGTCCTACAGGAGTTCGATTGAGAACCTGAATAGCTCAGTGGTTATGTCTCTGACTGCAGTGCTGGGTGATGAACCTCAGCAGGTGCATGAGTTTCTTCGAGGTTGCAGATATGCCTTTCTGATGAGTCCCACCTAGCACGACAGCCAGGTTCAAGGCTTCCCGCCAATTTCCTCCAAACATCTAATTATACCTGTTGTTAATAAGTCTTTTGTTTTGTCGACAGCACTGGAGGACTAACTGGTGAAAAGATCGGCTCCATTCACAGTAGCAACACGGTCTTAGCACACCGCATTCTGCAGACAACATATAATTGTTCTCAGCACCATTCCTTCTAGGATCAACTAAAGCTTCAATAGTCGAGAGGCTCACAGACTACACAGAAGTTTACCGAAGACCTTTCACCTTTGCCTTGCAACCAAGAAGAGAGCACTAAGAAATCGAATTGGTTTACATTATGTTGTAAAAACCACATCGGGTATCGGGTGTCATACATGAGGTTAATTCCAGAGGGCCAGACTGACTTGCGTTCAGTATCTGAGACGGTATTATCAGTATTTCAGTATTTTGACTACAATTGTTGATACTGCGGGTGTGATAATAATTGGCCTGTAGAAAGCGAGTTTTATTTCACACCGGATTTGTATCAGAGTAAAGAAAATTTTTTCCACATCTCGGCAATTAAAAGTTTCTGAAGACAAGAAATATATAAATAACAGTCGGGAAGTTTGAAAACTTCCAAATTCTGAAAGTACGAGGAAACATGAACCTCATCAGTAATACTGGAGCCGTTATAACATTTAATAACTGAGTCGATGCTAGCACGTGGGCTCAACAGCACTAATTTGCCCAAATAATGAAGAATATTCTTTGGTTCTGGAAAAATGTGGGCCAGATACTTTTCTTCTGTAAATGTCTTGTTGAAAATTCCAATACACACTGGGATCTGTATAAATTAGCATTATGGATAGGGAGAGAGATATCACAGAGTCTTAAGGTGTTCTTGAACAACACAAATCATCGAAGGACTTAATAGGTACGTGCTGTCTTCATTTTTCATATGCATATGTTAGGCGTATGAGTTAAAATTGCTAACGTAGATAAACTACCTGATGCATCAAATTCAGTAATTCTACGGCAGATTGCAGAGAATTCCCTCACTTTTACATGTGTCCTGAAAGTTATACACATCTCTTTAAAATCCGAAACCCCAGGAGTTTGTAAAGGCTGAGAGGTACCTGAGGAGATGTTGGCGTTTTGATGGGTGTTTAGTAGTGAAATATGGCGCTCCTTCACTACATATCACTGGAGAATACATAACGACCCACTCTATTTCGCAACAGTGCCTAGATTTTCATCACTGCTGAGTGGAAATATCAGTTGTAGTGATCGCACATAGACGTAAATTAACACGAAGGTGCTGGATTTCAGTTATATCTTGAAAATCTGCGGGAAACTTTTCTCCTATCAGAACAAATAATATGCCACGTTACTTCTCGCAGAAATAACAGCTATTTGCTACTCGTCATACCGCCACACGTAACCGAATTAGCTAGAACAGTTGGTGAATCTGACTTGATAGCAGAGAGTTTTATTCCTGTTAATATTAGCATTCCTACATAATCACGAATAGATGGTTATTTCAGAGCGATATCTGAGGGTTTTGCACAACTTAAAAACGGATCGGAAGCTCTGCAGATGCTGTTGAACTATACTATGAAACTTTCACTGGTCGCGATGACCTAACGAGTATCCATTTTCTCATTGGAAAACAATTTGCACAAGGTAACCTTTAGCCTTCTCCTTTTTCCAATCAAATATAAGTATTTATATTTGTCTCTTGGTCTGCAGATTGATAAAGAGGTAGAAAACATCAATTTCAGAATGAAGATTACAGACAGAGTTTGTATTCACTAAAGTTGTTTAAGTGAGTTGCAAACTGCTAAAAGTTGTTAAGCGCGAAGAACGTTAACGATTATTCTATTTGGCGTTCATAGAAACGTGCGTTTTGCCTAGCTAGTTATGTTTCTGTCGCATAATATTAAAAATTTTGTAACAACTGGATTTACTTCAACTCCGATAAATGATGTTAACGGAGATGATAAATTTTGATTGTGATAATTTTAAGGTGGATGATGCAGAAGTCGATCATGAGGATAAGATACTAAAGCGAGAGGTATATTGGCATTACAAATCACTTTTTATTTCGACAGTTAAATCAATTGATATCTGAACAGTTGGGTAATTTTGACCTCAGTGAAGAAGAGGACCAACCCGATGAAATTTGCATCGTTCAAACAAAGCCCGGTTGTAGCCCACCTGAGACTGTTGCTGCTAGTTCAGATGATTTGATAAGCATTATTGAGGCTGGAAAGTTGTCTTTACTGGAGATTGCTATTCAAAAGTTTGGTGAGGTAAGTGTGCACTGCAGCTAATATCAGCTCCTGTATATACAACTTGACTTCTTTACACTGGACTATATATTTATCTCAGTATCACCTACTTTTTTGAAGTAGGGGTGCAGATTCTTGTCGAAAAGTACCTTTCAGTATTTTCTCTACTCAGAATCAGTTTAGGACGATTCTGGAGCACCATTTTACGTTTCGTTGTAGGTGAAGGTGTGCCGAACATAATCAAAATTATAAAAAACCTCTGAATGTCAAGTAACGGAATCAGATCACTTGTATTTTATCAGTTAACCGTTTAGCAAGTCGCTTTCTGTAAGAAGTTAGGAAGAATCGCTTTCAAACGATACTTTCTCACCGTGTTTATCTTCCGAATGCTTGATATAAGTTTATCAAAGTGACTAACTCTTTCATACTAGAACTAATTTCATTAAGTACACATGATGGAAACTGGAATAGGTAGATAGAACTAAATTCTCAGGAAAAACTCATAGTTTCTCATCAATGTGGTTGACAATTCCACATTGGGTTTTACAAAGTTGCATTATTTCCAGTGGGAAATCTTAGACTAGTCAAACAATGCTTCATTTGCCCTTCTTTTCATGGAGAAAGGTTCGGTAAGTGTTAGATGGTTTCAATAACCTGAGCATCAGGACGTTGACTACTACATGAAACAAACTTATTCTTTGTAATTCATTGATTTAGAATTCCTTATGATCACACACCTAGAAGCTGACACTGACACCCATACATTAGCGTGTATTTTATTATGGTCGTCACTTTTCCGGTCAGATTGTGATGTCCTCTTTCTTCTCATTGTTTGAGACTTAAGTGTCTTGGCTTCATTGGGGTTTAGGGGCTTGAAATCCACATATGTGCGTTGGTGGCACAGTGGTTAGGACTCTCGCCGACCATGCACATGGTCCGGGGTTCAATCCCCTGCCGACGCATACCTGATATCTATGGTAGGCCTGCAAAATTTGGGCTACCGATATCCATGCTGAAAATTCCATACTTGTACCAAAAATATAGTGTGGCATCAAGCTGTATTAAAAAAATAAATAAAAATCTACTCTGCCGCTCCTTAGTGGGCTTCTTTAGTGTGTCAGTTTGTCAGAGTGACTCAAGTTATTGTTTCAGTTGTCTATCAGAGCCTACACTTTCTTGGTAATATTTTTATTTTCCATAGTAATCCTGTTTCCGCCATTTACCTCAATAAAAGATATCGAAAAGTGATTCTCAATATATTTTATCATAAATAACTATTGTGTATGTTCGATGTGTTCACTTTCCGTTAATTTACTTCTGAATAGTTGCATTGAGGAGAAACAATTCGGAGTAAAGTTTCAGTCTTTTGTCACTCAGTCAGATAATTAGAATATTTGTAGACTTTCTGTTCTTAAATTACAAGTTAGTGCATATTTATGAGTATTTTTCTGCTGATACACCAGCCTAAATGCTTTCTCAGTAATTCAAGTGAAAACTGGTGGAAAACTGATTGTAAAGAATTTTCAGACACCTATAAACAATCCTGGCCCATCGGAATATCTTGTCGATGGTACGTTTTCAAGATGGAATAATTACATTAAGGTGCAGTCAGTCTCCACACTTTATCAGTACATCTGTGAGTGAAGTATAGTCATGTTTTAAATATTTATTTTGTGACTAAAGTAATTATATTTTTGTCTTACTAGTGTTCAGAAAATGCGACCACTGAGTCGAATGAACTCACAAGCCTGGGTTATGATGGTCAACAGTCAAATAGTAACCGTAACTCATTGGGATTGTCAGGTCGGTGTAGTCAAGATACTCATGTTGTTCGGCAGTTTGAAAATTCCGCAAAAGAGTCTGAAAAATCTACTAACTGTAACAATATTCATCAGGTTTCAAATATTCATGTATGCGATAATGTGCAAAATCCTCAACTTCCCATTTTCCCCAGTGTTGTTTCACAGGATAAACCTTTACCAAAGTAAGATGACCTACCATCGATTTGAATGTACTTGTCTGGTGACCAAAATATTATGTTAATAAAATAATTTTTACGATTATCTTTCGCTCCCTAGGGTTCTCAATGCTGCTCCGTGTATAAATTTGGACTTGAGTCTTCCTGGTGAGGTTACAAATACGTTGTTCAGCACTGCAGTGGATAATAAAAATCAGTACACCACACACGGTAACTTTTTTAAAGTTGTAAATAGTTATAATATTTAATAAATTTGCTTAGTGCTTCTTAAGTTCATTTCTAAATATGAACTATAAAACAATATAATTTAATGCATTTATCAAATCCAACAATCTGTACATAGTTTGTTATCTTTGCCAATTTACCTCCTTGACAATGTAGTAATCGCCTCATGCTAAATAAGTGTGATTAAGTTATTGTGTATGAGGTGAGACTTTGGAAATTCTGATTTAATCTTAATTTGATTATAAATAAATGAATAAACTACTGAATAGATAGAAAAGCGCCAGCAAAACAATGTCGTTCTCATATCCTGGGGTCAGTGTTGATGAACATAATAGACCCTACACTCAGAACTTTTCAGATTAATAAATGTGAACTTGTTGGGGCATATGAATAAAGATATCCAGTTAACGTGATTTTCTGACAGTAGTTTCAATACTTTTCTGTTTTGGTTGTTTGAAACGTAGCAACATAAACTGTGCAGATTTCTGCATTGATTTGTCAGTCTTCTTTTAAAGTTACATTTTGACGTGCTAATACGAGATGGCGTAGATAACTACTCCGAATTGTTGAGACATCTATTTGTATTCGTCTGTGCCTATACTTTTCGTTATATGTAGCGTGGCATTTATTGATACTTTTCTATCTGATCTTTGTCAAACCGCCAGGTTGATTATGCAGCAGTGTTTGCAGTCGACCAAGATATGAAGTTCACATTTTTTTAGGAGGCAATCTTTTGTAACCCATCCGAATTCGAGTTAACGTAGTTTATTTATTAAGTGGGTTCACTTGCTATTCTACAGTAACGGTGACTAGCAGCTTGTTATAACTGATACAATAAAGAATGAGCTTCATCACTTGGTTTTAAAAATAACTGAGGATTTGACTAGGTTTTAAACACTCACGTAGTGCTCCAAATAGATGAGCCGATACCAAACAATTTTCATTAGGATTCATTTTCATATGCTTATTCATTTGTCACACTATCTATAGGTATTGATTGATATAACAGCATACTTAAATACATGTATATTGTTGGTCTAGCAATGAACTTTTCAAATGTAACATTCATTTTAGTTCATTGTTTTTGGTTTAAGTAGATTATGTTGAATACAGTTTCGGCTACTTACTTTTCGACTTTTCTTTTAACTCAACAGATCATGGTCGAGTGATTTCCGGCCCGACAAATTCCATTCAAACTCCTCCATCACCATGGTCATTACTTCCTTCTGCAATACCTCCGTCTTTACCACCACCAGATTTTCCAGAAAACGTTGCCTGGTCAAGAAATTCGAAAGGTCCTACTCCGTCTCATGCAGCCTATAATGAAGTGACACAGGCTAGTATTCCTGTAGACATAAAAACACATATAGGTAAGAAGTACAGTTTATTTTATAGCATTAGATACTGATTGGAATTCGTGTTCAGTTTTTAGTCACGCTCATCATTTTTTTTAGTATTTAATTGTTGTTAAACATGATCAGCTACCAATGTGTAGAGCGATGGTTAATATCTGTTTATAGCCCTAGACATCGTTACTTTTTCCATAAACCACCTTATATTTTATTCATAGGCAAACCGAAATGCAAATAGTCTTCAAACGTATGATGTATTTATGCATATACATTGGCATCTTCAACTTTAAAGGCGAGAAATAGGGATTTCTGAAACTTCCTTGCGAATTGTTGATAGGGATGACTTAAATCAAATTCATAATTTGAAATCTGCACAGTTCCAGTGGTGAAATTTCCCCGTAGTTTCCTTAAGGAATCAAATTATTCAGATCACAAAGTGTGATCTGCTTGATGTCACAAATAGTAATCAAGAAAGCACACATATTTACATAGAACTGTGTACCGCTGATTGATTGAGGTGAGTAGTTGTATACCACTCATCTCAGTCAGTCAGTAGTGTATAGGGATGACTTAGTGTAAAATGTGTTGGAAAGAGGTCCTCTGTGAAGTTCGCTAGGTGTAATAATTTAGTGGGATGAAGTGCAGAAGTAAGAAGCATTGGAGGTAGATTGAGTGTTACTACTTACAGTTACAGACTATTATTCAGTATGATAGGAAAAAGGTATGTTCCTATGTTAGAGTGAGGGAAATGATTGACGATGACCGAGAATTTGTTTACTGAGTCTTGTGAGAATACATACAGATGGAATGATTCGATATCTCTCTAGGATAACTAGAAATTTCTACCGCAATTATGACAAACGGTGGAAAAGAACTAAAAACATAGAACCATGTTTAATGGTTGATATTATGAACGCTAAATTGTGTTTGAAGGGTTATCTATTAAATATCAACTTTCCGTTAGTTCGCAATCATACAATCAAAATGCCAAAGTCGTAAATATTGCGAGGAATATATCTATAACCCGTTGGTATTTATTTATTTATTTTTTTGTTTCTTCACGTTCCCGATAGGACATACGGCTTCAAGCTTTAAACTATAGAAGTCTCAGAAGTTGTGATGTTATTTTTTTCCTGGATGGTGTTGCTAGCCTCACTTCCAGTTTTCCCTATTTTCCGGTCTTTCTGCCAGCTAAGCGGGGTTTAGGAGTGCGTCAGCTGGAGTTCACACCCCGAATCACGTGCATAGTTGGCTAGCATTTCACCTCTAAACCGCTTGTTGGTATTTAGGAGTGTGATTAGACTGTTATCTACCACACATGTATACAAGGGTAAAAATGAACATTAGTCAGCATAAATACATAGAAATTAAACATTATTGTCATGATAAATTTTTGTTTGGAGTATAGCTTATCTACTACAGACTGGCTAACATTTAAATGAAATCTTGTGTATTCGATTTTCGGAACATTGTGCCCCATATCCGGTTAATATGCTTGAACCGTAAACTTAAAACTTTTGGCCGTTGTTCATTCTGACTTACTTACTTAGCTTCAAGCTACTAGTTGTATTAGTTTTTTATTGTAAGCTACGCGTTGATATACGTAGCCCTCGCTTGTAACCTAATATGTACGTTTATACTTGGTTACTTAATTGTATTGAGTTTCGAGATTATACTTTATTGAAGGCTTTCCACAGTATATCTAAATTTCACTGGTCTAAGCATCCCACCTATTAATGATTTTGTAATCATAAGGGTCTCTTTATTAGGCGATTCACATCCCTTAGTCATAAGTAGGTCAGTACGTCATTATAACTTGCCTCACAGCAGTACAGGGAAAGGCTGCGTGAAGAGAGACTTAAACAGAGAGATGGCATAAAAGACACTTCAGTATGTAGAAATTGTGTTTAGAAGAAAAATCTTAAATCCTTAACTACTACATGTTTATTTGTTTTGTTTTTGCTTTAGTTGGCCACACCACAACATCGGAGCTGACTTCTTCCAATATTCCATGTGTAACTAGCAGTGCTAATATGAATTTAGACAGTCATCTTTTACCTAGTGGTAATGAGGATCGTCGTGAGTTACTTTACACTGCTCGAGGACGTCAGCTACAAGAGTTGCAAGCAGAAGTCGTTCAATTGAAAGAAGAAATCGCTAAAGAAAAACGTCTATCTAATCACCGTATTTTATTAGCTGAAGGTTAGTTTTCATCTGTGCAATGTTGTGCTAATTCGGTCTCATTCTGTATATGTGATATTTGTCCACTGACTGGGACTGAATTTTTACCAGGGAATAGTCTTGTCTACTTGAAATATGCAAATAATATATTCCTTCCAGGTGAAGACGCTGAAAAAATACTGATTTTTCTAAACACCTTGGGCAACAACATTCGAATGTTTGGGATGCGATTCACTCCTGTCATATGTAAGATGATGCTACGGGACTCTACTACTTAGACTTCTATTCTTAAGATACACAGTGAAGTGGTAGAGTGTGTTAACCACTTCAATAATTTGGGAAGTTGCATCTGCCCCAACGAGTTGATCGCTGACGAAATTTCAGCACGAATACTGGAGGCTCGTTTGGAACTTTCAAAATTACTCTAACTCTGGTACAGACGTGATATTCGGCTGTTCAGCAGTCCGCTCCATCCTCCTTTATGGCTGTGAGACCTGGCCATTGGAAGACATGAAAAGGCAAACTGTCTTTGATCATAGGTGTCTGCGTTCTATCTCCCTTGTTAGTTAGTGTCTGTCTGTCTGTTTTCGACATAGAACTTTGCACAAATGTGCGGAAGTTCAAGTCGCCACATTCCGTGTAGCACGCGAAGCAAGAGAAGAAAGTACAAGAAAAGCATAATAGAAACAGTGAGCAGAGGTGTGAGACAAAACAGTAATAAAGAAATACAAAACAATTTCATTGAAGATCATAAGTCACAGGGAGTGGATGCATCTGCGCCACTGAGAACGATTTTGAGCCATGTCACCAATTGTTTCCAACCATAGATTTTTGCCGTCCCGAGGACCCCAGCCTGGAAGTCTACACCTTCCTACGTGGCTAAGACCAACTGTTGTGGATTTCATTGACTGATGCCAAGTTTTTGTTTGACCGCCGCTAGCTTTTTTCCAGCCTGACCCTATATCCGCTAACATAGCTCGTCGAGGGAGGCGATGACTTGGCATACGTAACACATGTCCTAACCATCTCAGTCTTTGTAGCTTCACGACTTCGTCGATTGATTTCCCCTGTTTACCTAGAACTCTACGCCTAACCTCCATGTTGCTCACCTTATTATGCCACTTTACACGGGAAATAGAACGCAGGCACCTATGATCAAAGGCAGCTAGTATTTTCATGTCTTCCACTCTCAGTGGCCAGGTCTCACAACCATAAAGGAGGACGGAGCGGACTGATGAGCAGTACACCCGCCCTTTGGTCGATAGTCGAACATCTCGTCTACGCCAGAGTCGGCGTAAACTAACAAATGCGAAACGAGCCCCTTGTATTCGTGCTGAGATTTCGTCAGAGATCAGCCCGTTGGGGCTGATGGTACTTTCCAAATAAGTGAAGCGGTCAACGTGCTCTACCACTTCACTTCCTATTTTTAAACTAGGCGTCGATGTAGTCCAGTCCTGTAACATCATCTTGCATTTGGCGGGAGCGAATCGCATGCCAAACATTCGTAGACTGCTGTTCAAGGTGTTTAGAAGACTCTGCATTTCGTCAGCGTCTTCGCCTAGAAGGACTATATCGTCTGCATATTCCAAGTCAACGAGATTATTCCCAGGTAGCAAGTCAATCCCTGAGTCGCTGAAGTCACCTAGGGTTAAGTCCATTAAGACATCTATGATGAAGTTGAATAGAAAAGGAGATAATGGGCATCCTTGCCGGACACCACTGGTCGTCATCAGTTCAGATGACAGCTCGCCGTAAGCCCTCACCTGGCTGTATGAGTACGAATAGAGTGCCTTAATCAGTGCAATATATTTTCTTGGAATTCCCTTTACAGCCAAGCATCTCCAGAGAACTTCCCGATCGACAGAGTCGAATGCTGCCTTTAGGTCAAGAAATATAATGACTGTTGGACGCCGGTAGGAATGCCTATGTTCTAGAATCTGTCGGAGGGTGAAGATATGATCAATACACCCTCTTCCTGGTCTAAAGCCTGCCTGGCTCTCTCGTGTTTGTGCTTCCCGAGCACCACTCAGTCTACGCATGATTATTGAGCCTAAGACTTTAGATACTATATTAGTTAGTGTAATAGGGTAACATTGGGGTTAGGCATCAAGTGTTACGTAGGGCAGGGCAATCAACTGACGAGGTTGTGAAGTTACACCTGTTGAGATGGTTAGGGAATGTTACGCATGCCTAGCCGTCGCCTTTCTCGACGGACAGTGTAAGCTGATATAGGAGTAGGTTGGTGGTAAGCAGAAGGATTACTTGGGTTTTTGTTACAGGCTTTTACTGTGGTAGTTTGGCTAACACTAGATTTCATTGCTTCGAAACCTACACACACAGACCTAGGCAATCAGTAACTGTGTAATAGCACATTTTTCTCTAAAAGTAGGTAATTTTATGACACTCCTACTGATAACATGCTACAGAAACTATACTATATGTCTCTAGAAACTAAGCGATAAACCTCTGAATGAGTGCAATTGATAGAAAATAACGATAACGTCCAGAGAAAACAGTACGGTTTGTAAAAATTGAATGAGAGGAGTGTTGTCGTTAGATTTAATGACTACTGATAATTCATATACTTGGACACCGAATATAAGTTACCGACAAAACAGGATATAAGAAGAATAACTGAAGAGTGTTGGACCTTTTTAGCGTACATAAATAAGCTCTTTCCAACACCTTGGCTGCAATAAAACTAGTCCAAGAACTGACAAATTTGCATTTGGACCTAATTAAACAACATCCTTCATTGATCTCACCAGTAATCCAGTCAGTCACTGACTTACTGACCGGCTTCAACAAAGAAATCTGCACAGAAGTGCAGAATTTCAAGTTAACACGATCCGTATAGCAAAAAATACGTGGAGGAGAGAGACGAAACAGAACTCAAAAGAAACTGTAGTAAGCATAAATGAGGGAGAAAAAATAATAACATGGAAAAGCATGACTATTGAGTTGATATCGGAAATCACATAAAGTTAATGCATCTGAGATATTAAAAAGGTTTTTGAACCATATCACCAATTGTTCCCAGCCTTCATGAGTTTTTAACATCCAGACGGCCTCAACCAGAAAGTCTACACCTCCTACGAGGCTAAAACTACCTGTTAAGGGTTTCATAGACTGATGCCATGTTTTTGTTTGACCACCAACAGAAATGAAAACAAGTAATTCAGCTAAGAGACTGTTTTCAACAAATTTATTATTAAAGCTGTACAATCGTATGTATATGGTTTTTAAGAAATTGTATCCATTGAGGAAATTGAAACAAAAGTGTTAATACATAAAATAATAAATACATTAAATTCAATCAGAATGTTTGCGATAATAATTATAGTTAAATGTCAGGCAGCAAAACAAATGATGTCATGTATAGAGTAGTTCATATGATGTATAGATGTTGGAAGGTGGTGTAAAATTATAGGGTTAGGAGGCAAATAAAGACGTTAAATAACATGGTGTAAAATTGGATAACATAGAATTTAACATAATAATACCGGAAATATTTTTGATTGTACACTAGTCAGTAACTAGTGTAACGGGCTGATCTCTGACGAAATCTCAGCACGAATACAAGGGGCTCGTTTCGCATTTGTTAGTTTACGCCGACTCTGGCGTAGACGAGATGTTCGACTATCGACCAAAGGGCGGGTGTACTGCTCATCAGTCCGCTCCGTCCTCCTTTATGGTTGTGAGACCTGGCCACTGAGAGTGGAAGACATGAAAATACTAGCTGCCTTTGATCATAGGTGCCTGCGTTCTATTTCCCGTGTAAAGTGGCATAATAAGGTGAGCAACATGGAGGTTAGGCGTAGAGTTCTAGGTAAACAGGGGAAATCAATCGACGAAGTCGTGAAGCTACAAAGACTGAGATGGTTAGGACATGTGTTACGTATGCCAAGTCATCGCCTCCCTCGACGAGCTATGTTAGCGGATATAGGGTCAGGCTGGAAAAAAGCTAGCGGCGGTCAAACAAAAACTTGGCATCAGTCAATGAAATCCACAACAGTTGGTCTTAGCCACGTAGGAAGGTGTAGACTTCCAGGCTGGGGTCCTCGGGACGGCAAAAATCTATGGTTGGAAACAATTGGTGACATGGCTCAAAATCGTTCTCAGTGGCGCAGATGCATCCACTCCCTGTGACTTATGATCTTCAATGAAATTGTTTTGTATTTCTTTATTACTGTTTTGTCTCACACCTCTGCTCACTGTTTCTATTATGCTTTTCTTGTACTTTCTTCTCTTGCTTCGCGTGCTACACGGAATGTGGCGACTTGAACTTCCGCACATTTGTGCAAAGTTCTATGTCGAAAACAGACAGACAGACAGTGTAATGTGTCTAGTCCTATCTTCGCTGCAGACTGAATTCTATCAGTCAGGCACTGGGTGACGTGGGTTCAAATCTCAGAAGGGACATGAGTTCCTTCAAGGTTTCAAATACGCCTTGCTGATGAGTGCCAACTAGCACGAAACCTAGGTCCAAGGCTTCCTGCCGATTGCCTCCAACCATCTAATACCAACAATACCGGAAATAGTTCAGAGTGAGAATGATGATGGTAACAATCGGCGTAATAAGGAAATAAACTGAATAAACAAAACGACAAATAAGTGGGGTCAAAATGTGAGTGGGGACTGTCATACTTTTGCATAGACGGATTAAGACCATGAGAGTTGGAGGGGTTGAACAAACTTGTTCTGTATAATAAAACCTAGCTTTTCTATTCCGATAGCCAAAGCTTCAGCAGAATAGATTATTCGGATACGTAATCATTTAGGCAAGTTATTTTTCGCTTTGTAGATGACTTTAAAGGAAGAAGTTGTAGATGTGTAGTGATCAATATCGACTATTTACTGTGCTTCTTATAGCCGCACTTCCACCTCTTCGCAACTGCGCAGGACAGTGTTCTTGCACTGTCTGTCTGTCTGGATTCAACATAGAACTTGTCACCGAAGTGCACCAGTTCGAGTTGCCACGTTCCAAATAGCACACAGAGGTAGACAAGAAGATGAGTGAAGAGAATCAATACAGTCTGACAAGTATAAGAGTGAAACAGAATGGGTAATGGTAGAAAGGAATATGAAAGATTACAGAGACTGAATACATCTGCGCTGGCCATTGACAACGATTTTGAGCCATGTCACCTATTGTCTCCAGCCATTGATTCCTAGAGTCCCGAGGGCCCCAACCCGGGAGTCTGCATCTCCCTACCTCGACTCAGTTTAACTGTCAAGGATTTCATGGATTGATGAGGCCATGTTTTTGTTTGGCCACCACTGGCTCTTTTCCAACCTGCACCTATATCAGCTAGCAATGCCCGTCGGGGGAGGCGGTGGCGCAGCACGTGACCTAGCCATCTCAATCTATGTAACTTTATAGCCTCGTCGATTGATTTTCCCTCTTTGCCCAACACTCTACGCCTAACGTCAACATTACTTACCTTGTGAAACCACCTAACGTGAGAAAGAGATCGCAGACATCTATGATCGAAAGCAGTCAACCTTTTCATGTCTTCAACGCGTATTGGCCATGTTTCAGAGCCATAGAGAAGGACAGAGCGAACTGATGAGCAGTACACACGTCCCTTGGTTGATAACCGGATGTCACGCCTACGCCAGAGATGGTGTAAGTCAGCGAAAGCAGCTCGAGCTTTTCGGATCCGTGCTGAGATTTCATCGCCAATCAGTCCGTTGGTGCTAATACAACTTCCCAAATAGGTGAAGTGGTCAACATGTTCTATCACTTCACTCCCTATCACTAAGTTAGGAGTTGACGTGGTCCAGTCCTGTAGCAGCATCTTACATTTTGTAGGGGCGAATCGCATGCCAAACATACGAAGATTGCTGCTCAAGGTGTTCAGAAGACTCTGCATTTTGTCAGCATCCTCCCCTAACAGGACTATGTCATCTGCATATTCTAAGTCCATAAGATTATTCCCTGGTAACAAGTCGATTCCTAAGTCATTACGTTCAGTTAAGGATACTTCCATTAGCATATCTATGATGAAGTTAAACAGAAATGGGGAAAGTGGACATCCCTGTCGGACACCACTGGTTGTTATCAATTCAGATGACAATTCCCCATAAGCCCTTACACGACTACGTGAGTTTGAATAGAGTGCCTTGATTAGTGCAATGTACTTTCTTGGCACTCCCTTCACAGTCAGACATTGCCATAGTACCTTTCGATCCACGGAGTCGAAGGCCGCCTTCAAGTCAAGAAATATGACAATTGTTGGACGCCGAAAAGTGTGTCTATGTTCTAGAATCTGTCGAAGAGTGAAGATATGATCTATGCACCCTCTACCTGGTCTAAAGCCTGCTTGATTTTCCCTTGTCTGTTCCTCCCGAGTTCTGCTTAGTCTATGCATGATTACTGAGCCTAGGATTTTAGAGACTATGTTCGTTAGGCTGATCCCCCTATGATTATCACACGAGGACTTGTTCCCCTTCTTGAATATCGGTTCTTGCACTATTTTGGACAGAACCCGAGTCGAAGGATCGATATAGCTAGCCCCATACAAGCAGTTGAATTGTTAAACACACAGAGTTGGCTAAATGTGGGATCTTGTCCTTTAGGTTGTTTAACTGTAATGGTCGACTAGCAAACGTTTTTCCCAACAATGTTACGGGGAATGTGCTTTTCAGGAACTGTTTGATCCTTCTTTTATGGATGTCGGCATCTAAGTCACCCTTGAATTCAAGGTTCACGAATTATTTCGTAACTTGTGTTCTTCTGTTTTTCGCTCTTGTCAGAGAAAAGAATTCAGTGATTCGCTTTTGAGCTAGAAGTACTGATTAGAAAAAGAGTCGACTGTTTTATCAAGCAATTCAGTCTTCGGATTCGTTCGGCGGTGCGTTTAGGTTATAAACTCCATCTTCCTCTTATTCAATTTGGTACTGGAAGTGATAGAATATTAATAGGAAAACATTTGAATTTAGTCCCAATGTATGTTATCAACTTGCAACTTTTGATTACTTTTGAACTGCCACCTTATGATAGCTATGTAGAATCGGTTGATTTGAAGAACTCTTACAAATAGGATTTGGTAAAAGTAGCAACCGTACGAATTTATCACCTCAGGATGTAATCTTTGTGTCCTTATTAATATGACTTCATTTTCATTTCTGCACTAAGTCAGTGTTCATGTGTGTTTGGTTTAGGTGGCGTATTGATTTATAAGTGCTAATCTCTTTCATGTGTTGTCTGCTGCTGGTTAAAATCTCCGTTTGCCGAGATAGACTGCGATACTGATAGTTTTTCAGTGTTGTTGTAGGTGTCTTTCTGAACTATAAATGTCGATCTAGACATGAATTGGAAACAAATTTAAAGCTACTCAAGAACGAGAGTTGCTTCTTCTCATTTTAAAACTCTTAACTTCTTCAGTTAGAGACATAAAACATTGTGAATAATTTACCATTATCGTACCATTATGTGTTCATAATAAATGTGCTTTTTCTTTGCACTTCAATATTTTAGGGGAGAAGGAAATACTACGTTCTAACCTTTCAACTTTAGAAGACACTGTGAAGTCATTACGTATGGAGCTTGTTACAAAAAAGGAAAATGCTGAAGTTTTACAGAATCAGTTACAAGAAAATGCTGAGTCTCAGAAAAAGGTTAGTGGATTCTTCTAGGTATTTTATTGTAGTATGTATGTGTAAGTATTTCTGAATAGGCTCGTTTGTGCAGTTCTAAGCTACTAAGATTGTGAATTGATTGAATACCAGATGGTTTTGATTCCCAGTAAGCTTACGTTTATATTAGTTTATTTATTAGATGTATCACACAGTGAAACAGTATTATTTACTGGATGACGTTTCGAACAAAATTTATTGTTCATAATCATATCAGTTATAATCACATGATTTCGAAACTTGAGTTTTATAGTTCCCTTTTTCCTCTCCTATTTGTCGTAGAGGACTAGACACATTACACTAGTTACTACTGTGAAAAGCTGAAAATTCTTTATATTGTGTAAACTTTTTGTGCAGGATAAAGCTGTTGTTATTATTAGTTATTAAATTAAAAAGCCAAGTCAGGAAAGAAGATTCTTTTCGTAACTACACTTCAACGCTATAAAGTTATATAGTGTTCTAGAAGGTCAGGGAAATACATATGACAGTCACTTGTTCGTAACAGTTGGTAATAAAACCCATGAAATTACGCTGTCTAAAAACATTAAATGATGAGTGTCGCCCAGAAATGATTACCACTCAGTATTACTAATGTTAATAATATTAATAGTAAAGTTTTATTTCAAACAATATGTGAACATATATTACAGAAATTTTCAGCGTATTTAGCTCCAAAATATTTCCTCTTCATACAGAATTTACATATAAAGTAATAATCTAAAGTACATCACTCGTTGTAGTGTTGCTGTATATGAGGGGAGAACCAATTCTGTACATTTTTTCTTCAATTCCTTCGGGAATAGCCTAGGGCACATTGGGAAACTAATTAAATACGCGCGCGAGTTCCTGTACTGGTCATTCCATATAAATGCACCAATAAAACAATCGGAAGCGCTGAAGAGTTTAAGCACTTTGATGGATAGAAATTCTGGTAGCTTAGTGATTTAAGCGAGCCTCTGAACTACATGCGTCTGGAAACAGAAATAGTACGAGATTCAAAATATTTATACTTTAAAGGTAAGAGACTGGAAGGAAACAATAAGATTATTGGTTACGTAACAAATTATTGTACAAATTCAAAAAGAAGAACTTAAGGCCACAATAGTAAAATGGATTGGATAAACAACTTCTTAAAACGCAATTCAGGATTTTGCGTGTGCATACAGAAGCGATTTATCCAGTCCATCTCACTACCGTTGTAACGACAGAAGACAGGGAGGGGCCAGGCAGCAGATCGCTTATTGTGACAGAATCAACAGGTATTTATAGATTTTTATGTACATTATTATTCGCTATTGTTAGCAGACAAGCAGTGTCTTCTGACTGGTTGTTTTCCTGATAAAGGCTGTTCTGTCATCTCTTTGTTGCCATTTCTTGGACAGTCCGGAGATATATTTGTGAATCGTATCCGCCCATGCTAAGTCTGCTGTGAATGATTGTTGAGTTTCTCAAGGTTAGGCTTTGTTCTTGTTTTTTCTCATGACTCCGGTTCGGGAGGCAATCATTGACGTCAATTGTTTGCAATTTTGGCTTGCAGACAGCTCTCACCACACCGTGACCTTGGGCTTTTCAGTTTTTTAGAACTCTTACGACAATTTGTTGCGTAAATGTACTTCATAAACATTCTGAATCTTTTACTGCTTTGAACAGTATTTCTGTTTCCAGGCGTTTGTAGTTCTAATGGTAATCATTTTTGAGCGATAGTCCTTACTTATTGTTTTTAAATTGAGTAATTTATTATTTCTCTCGACATGTAATTTCATATACTTTGTTACCAGTCGTGATGAATAATTAAGCTTTATAAGCATTTTCTTAACCTTTTAAAACACCACACAGTTTTGAAGCGGATTTACAACAAATGCATAAAATTACGTTTCTCTGGAAGAAAGTATTCTATTATGCTTCTTTGTTTCTTCTTCTTCTTACTTTATCCAGCTGAATGAAGAACTTTTAGCTTTACGTACAACTAATGAGTCTTTATCATGTCAATTAGTTGAATTGACTACAGGGAATGCTTTAAAACGAGCCGAAGAAAGAGAAACACAACTGGCAGAATCATTAGAACAACGTTTTCTGTCAAGAACTGAAGAGATTAAGACAGAGTTAAAAGCAACTCAAAGAAATTTAAATGAAAAGGTTTGTTTGAGAAGTGATTGTTAAGTGTATTTCTTTGACTGTTGTACATTGAGCTGGTGAAGAAAGATGTATTCACTCTTTTTTGCTCTATATAACAGTTCTTATTATTCTACGTGTATGCTACAAATTCAGTTTAGTTCATAGGTAAAGATTAGCAACTTAGCATTTTGTTATTTTGGTGGATGGTGACTAACAATGGAATCGAAGATGCGCACTTCATCCCATTTTTTGGAACTATTCTGCTGAACATACCTACAATTCCAAGTGTGTAGTTGTATTCCCACTGAAACTTGAACCCAGAAGTCATCGTTTCAAACGCCAAAGCATTATTCACCAGGCTTTTCGGATCGTGAGATGCATCTTTAGTACGTCAAATATCGGTTATCACTTGTTTAGATGGCCTAGTGGATAATGCTTAGGCGTTTAGAACTATGAATTCTGGATTCGAGTTTCAATGGGAACACTGTCATACATTGAGGACTGCAGGTACGTCCAGCAGACGAGTCCCAAGTAGGATGAAGCGTCCATCCCGGATTACAGTGTCGACAGAGACTGAGTATTTCTGTTCAGCGTAATCAATTAACGTGAAATACAAAGTTAACTTAAACAAACCCCAGTACTTTCCCCGTTATCCACCCAATGTTTTCGATTTCACTTTAGTTTGATTTTTGTAAACAAGAATAACCCTGTAAGCAGGTAAAATTTTACTTTTTTGTACAAGATTCTTCGCAACAGCTTGTTCCCATTATGGTGGATCTGTGTCTACATATCATTGTGGTTGCATAATATTGGCATCGTTGGTGAGCATTTATTAAGCAGTTATTGCGACTGCTACCAGCGAATTGTGACAGTCGTAACCGATACAATATACATAATGGTTTCTAAAAATATTAATATTATTATGTGTTGTTTGTCAAGTCACTGCCCTCCTTTTTGAGCAACAAAGTGTTAAAAGTTAACTGGTGGATGCTCACTAGCAGTGGAATCCAGGATGCGCATTTTGTCCTATTTGAGACTCTTCATCTGGGTGTACCTGCATTTCCCAGTGAGTGATGATGTTCCCACTGAGGCTGGAGCCGAGTGCCCATAGTTTCAAACGCCAAAGCGTTATCCACTAGACCACTTGGGTCACGAGAGCCACCTCTTTTGCAACGGGTCATATTAATTATTTAATTGAATTTTAGATTTTCTCGTCGATTGATTGGACCGAAGTGCTCGGTCTCAGGTTGACATGTCGGCTTCTTGTGCAAATGCGTCGACTGTGTGTGGGCATGTAATCAAAAGTTAACTGGTTGATGATGACTATCAGTGAAATCCAGGATGCGCATTTCGTCCTATTTGGAACTAGTCATCATTCACTGCGGAATGCAGGCACATCCAGATGACGAGTCCAAAATAGGACGAAATGCTCGTTATCCTGGATTCCACTGCTAGTCACCATCCACCAGTTAACTTTTGATTACATGCCCACACACAGTCGACGCATTTGCACAAGAAGCCGACATGTCAACCTGAGACCGAGCACTTCGGTCCAATCAATCGACGAGAAAATCTAAAATTGAATTAAACAAAGGGTTAAGTTGGTGATGAGTCATGAATAGGTACAGAATAACATATGACACCTATATATAAGATCTTTGACTTTTGATTGTTGCCAAGTAGGCTAGTACCAGTTCAGTTCAGTAATATTCAATTATGATGCGATCTATCTTAAACTCAAAACGAAATACATTATTTTACTATATTTTAGAAAGCGTTTCCTCTAATTAATATCCCTCGAGTCTTTAGTTATCTCTGCCGGAATGTTTAACTGTTCAATGCACAGCATGCTTTTTCTTTTGTGTTTAGGAAAATGAAGTTAGCGATTTACGCCGACAATTAGAAATTTGTAAAGCTGAAACAATGAAAGCACAACAGACACACGCTGAAATGATAAAAGAAGCTAATAAACAATTGGAAGAAGCTCAAAAGCATTGTCAACAACTTGCCTCATCTGGTATGTGATGTGTTGAATTTATTTCATTTCATGATATGTAATAACTACAACCTTTGATACACGCCACTAACCCTTATCTGAGATACTCGTGAATGTCCAGATCCTAACCCTAAGTAGTTCAGTTCAGCAGCTATCATTTTCAGCCCCTGTGCTGAAATAATCTACTGAGCACTTTGATGTACACATTTGGAGTTATTGGGAGTTTTACTTGTATGCTAATAATTACTCATCTTTTTTGTTGATTGTCAATAACAAGGGTTTTGTTTCTCCTTTCTTGTTAGCCTTGTGCTCTGAAGTAACATCTCTGAGACAAAAGGTGATTGAGTTGGAGACATCAAGAAAGATTACAGAAGATGTGAATACAATTTTACAGGTACTGTTTACTGGTATCTGTTTGTTAATCTAGTTGCTTTCCTATTTATTCAACGTGTTCCAATTATAACTTTATACTATGATTACTTAATATGGTCATTGTCAAACGTGATGAATAGTTTTACATAACTGAGGGTTTAGTCATGCTTGGGTTATTGTTATTATCATTGTTATTAATATTACTCATACCATTAAATTCTTTTATAGGTCCATTAGTACATCTATGATGAAATTGAATAGAAATGGGGATAATGTGCATCCTTGTCGGACACCACTAGTTGTCATCTGAACTGGTGACGACTAGTGGTGTCCGTCAAGGATGCACATTATCCCCATTTCTATTCAATTTCATCATAGATGTACGAATGGACTTAACTCTAACTCACTTCAGAGACTCAAGGATTGATTTGCTACCAGGGAATAATCTCGTTGACTTAGAATAGGCAGACGAAATATTCCTTCTAGGCGAGGACGCTGACAAAATGCAGAGTCTTCTGAACACCTTGCGCTGCAATCTACGAATGTTTGGCATGCGGTTCTCTCCCGCCAAATGTAAGATGATGTTACAGGACTGGACTACACTACCTCCTAGTTTAGAAATAGGGAGTGAAGTGGTAGAGCTACGTTGACCGCTTCACTTATTTGGGAAGTACCATCAGCCCCAACGGGTTGATCTCTGACGAAATCTCAACACGGATACGGAGGGCTAGTTTCGCATATACCAGTTTACGCCGTCTCTGGCGTAGATGTGGTATTCGGCTATCAACCAAAGGACTGTTCAGCAGTCCGCTCCGTTCTGCTTGATGGCTGTGAGACCTGGCCATTAAGAGCGGAAGACATAAAGAGACTAGCTGTCTTTGATCGTAGGTGTTTGCGTTCTATGTTAGTTAGTATAATAGAGTGAGCAATATTGAGGTTAGGCGTCGAATGCTTGGTGAAGAGGGAAGATCAATAAACGAGACTGTGAAGTTACATTGACTGAGATGGTTAGGACATGTGTTATGCATGCTTATCCTAGTCATCGCTTTCCTCGACGGGCAATTCAAATGATTTTTTAAATGAATCCTTTCTTCTCTGTAGTACTTCTTTCATAAGCTGTAAACTGTTGTCCTAATTAAGCTGTGCGTTTTAACCTAGAGTATGCGATTAGCAAAAATCACTGATTATTATTGATAAAGTGGGATTCAATATTGCGGCACTTTACCGTAAGTAAATGTAATTTATAGCATAAGTCATATTTTTAATATCTGTACTTTTAGTTATGTCATTGTTACGTTATTTTAGTAAATTACACTTGAATTTAGTCATTTAATAAGAATCTTCATTTCCTATTTTAATTGTATTTCTTAAGGATGAATTACGAGGTTTTCGGGATCAAGTTGCCATATATGAAAATGTTTTAAAGTTAGACGTATATTCGCATAATGTCGATATTGAAGATCCAGTTATGTATGAACCAAATGATCTTACACCTTATGCGAATAAAGGACGTCACAGTGGCAAATCTGTTGCTTTTGCTGATGTTGATACACCTGGGCCTAGTAAAGCTAATCCACTTCATCGACGACCATCTTCAGCTATAGAACGACCGATCTATCATCAAGCATTTGATGAAAATTTGGGTATTTCTACTCGTTGCCATTCAGACGAACAATCTAGTAGAACACGTCAACACTCGTAAGATAAAACATTTAAAAAAATGTTTTTACTCATGAAATTTAATTTTCGTATGATAGTGTACGATTTTAACGAAACGTGTGAACGAAATTTGTGTATTTAGTATAGAAGCATCAAAGTCCTATTTTTTTTCTCTATCTTTGTCTCTTGGCAACTAAATGCCATAGTTGACTGAGTAGTTGCTATTAAAATCTTTTGAAAACTGAAAGAAGACCGATAAATGCTGTTTATTTTGATGCAGTTAATTTCAGAATGAAATCAACTTAACTACTGTGGACAGTTTTATTTCAAAAGTAATTGTTATTTCCCTCAATTCTTGTCAAACGTCAAACCATGTCTCATTTTAATTTTGTCTGCATTGTTTGGTGAGGTAAGTGCATGTATGTAGTATGTAGAAAAAAACCATCAGTACAATTTCAATAAAATGTGGTTAAAATGTTCAGGTATGTAGGTTGATTACGTGCTGGTGAAGATATGACGAATGCAATTTCAAATCATGTAGTGAAAGTCACGCTGGTGTACACCGACTGTAGTCACCTTTAACGCTGTCACAAAGTTAGCCTGGTCATCAAAGGTCGAGTTTACTAAGCTTGGGTTCTCACAGTCCTTCTCTACGGCTGTGTAACTTGGTCCATTTCCCCCAAAGCTTGAGGATACACAGTGACTTAATGTTCCATCATCATTGTGCTAAGATTCATCAAGATATAATGTTTATGACCACAAACAGCTAATCTTTTCAAGTGGAAGATATAATAGGATTGTAACGACAGAAGACAAGGGCCAGGCAACAGATCGTTTATTGAGAAAATTCAACAGCTATTTATAGATTTTTATGTACATTATTATTAGCAGAGAAATAGCGTCTTCTCATCGGTTGGTTTCCTGCTGAAGGTTATTCTGTACTGCTTGTGACCATTGCTTTCAAAGTTGTCCTTATGTCTGCGAATCATATTTGCACACGCTAAGTCTGCTCTGATTGGTTGTTGAGTTCCTCAAGGTTAGGCTTTGTTCTTGTTTTTTTCTCATGACTCAGATTTGGGACGTGAGCATTGACGTCAATTGTTGTCTACAATTTCGGCTTGTAGACAACTTTCACCACAGGATGAGTAATATTGAGCTTAGGCGTCAAAGGTTAGGGGAGGATGGGAGGTCAATCGATGAGCCTGTGAAGCTACATGGGTTGAGATGGTTAGGACATGTGTTACGAATGCCTAGCCATCGGCTTCCTCGACTGACGGGCAATGTTGACTGACATAGGGTCAGGTTGGAAAATAGCCATTGTTGGTCAGACGAAAACATGGCTTCATCAGTCGATGAAATCCACGATAGTTAGTTTAAGCCAGTCACGTAGGCTGGCTTCCTGGTTGGGGGTCCTCGGGATGTTAAGAATCAGTGGCTGGAGACAATTGGTGATATGACTATAATTCGTTCTCATTGACTCAGATGCATTTGCTCCCTGTGATCTGTCATACGCAATAAAACTTGTTTTTCCATGTTACTTTCTTTTTCTCTCAAACATCCGTTTATTATCTCTCTCTTGAACCTCCCTTTACTCTCTTCTCTTGCTTCGTGCGCTACATGGTATGGCAATTCAAACTGGTGGACATCTTTGGAAAGTTCGTTGTCAAAGTCAGTCAGTGATTATACTTCACTTTATAGCAAGTTTATGACTTAAGTCTGTTGATTGTATCATTTGGGTGAAATGTATGGCGTCTAATTTTACGAAACAACTCTGGTTCATATGCTTGAACAATTATCTTGTAGAAATAGCTTTATGTTCTTTGGATGAGTTTTTATAACGCACCAATATTTACGCATATTTCAGTTCCACATATGATAAAGATTGCAACAATGTATTCATGCTTTATTTTAATTTAATTTTTGATTTTCCCGTCGACGGGAACATCATCACTCACTGAGAAATGCAGGTACATCTAGATGACGAGTTTCAAAGAGGACGAAACGCGCATCCTGGATTCCACTGCTAGTTTCCATCCACCAATTAAATGCATGCTTTATATTGGATAAGTTTATTTGATATAACTCATATTGATGCAGTAATGATCGCCATGTGACCTTTCGAGCATAATTTATCGCTCATAAGCATATCAATGTATGTACACGGTTTCATAATTTGCTTTCACTCGTTGCGTCATTCGATTGCGTATGTTTGGTGTCTAGATAAAGAGTGAGAGAGCTGTAAATCACCTAATCTGTAGTCATCGAATCGCCACCAAACACATGTAACGTTTATCCTGGGCGTATGGAAAATTTTAATAAAACTCAGTATAAATTAGAGGTATACAAACTAGATTCAAAATATTTAAACCATAAATATTGCGGATTTCTAGTGTGTAGCAAATTATGAAGGCGCCGATACATTGATATGATTACAGGCAATAAATTATGCTCAAAACGTCATCCAGTTATCTATACTGCATTACTGTGTTATATGAATAAACATAATATGGAATTTTGTATTCTGCTACAGGGCCCTAAATCTACACTGACATTATTGTATTCATATTATTAGTGGAGATGTGTTTCACTGGCGCTATCACTTGATTTTTAGCATGTGGTTCAAGGGTTCTAATCACATACCGCCTACTTCAACTCAGGAGCATAGGTATATATATTTTTTATACCTTGGTATGTGCAAAAAGTTGTTCTGAGTAACCGATTTCTAACTAAGCAATTCTTATTAGTAAGATTACATAATTTTAGCGTTGAATTTTTTGTTACTTTACTTTATAGAGGTGGTAAACAAGCGTTCAGTGATAATGAAGATATGCTTGGTAAATTGGGAGAATGTGACAAAGTTTCATTTCATTCATTAACTCGTCAGGGTATATTAACTAGTACTCCTGCAGTGACATCATCGAAGTCATCACCGAAATCTCCTATGGGTAGACTGCGTGCTGAACTTGAAAGATGCCTATTGAACTATAAGGCTAAACGAGAACAAATAACTAAACTTCATGAAGCTTTATATACAACACGTTGTCAATTGCATCAATCAAGGGAGTCAACAGAAAAGGCGGAAAAATCAGCTAAACTTTTACAGGTAATTTGAAGATGTATGATATATATGTATGTACTAATGCTTAGTTGCTTATTGGTAACATTAGTATCAATTAAGAATGTGTGTGTTTACTACACTGTGATTCGCTTTTCTAAAGGGGATTTACTTTTTTACTGAAGTTTGTACTGTGACGCAATGCCGAATCGCTTTTTAAGAAATATTTTATCCCATCTATCTCCACCAAAATGGAATCCGTTTATACCGCATATCGTTGTAGAGCTGATACTTATCTTAAATGTATTTTGTTTTAGTTACTTCTGGTAAATCAGTACCAGTATATTTATCAAGGAACTTAACCCTTAGTTCCTATTATTTACTAAGACGCTCCAAATCGATAACTTCTACGATCATTTACCGACTTGAACTCCAAAACACCAGTATTTGTAGTAACTTATACTGTTTGGCAATTAAAATCGAAAATGATGCAGAAATCTATAAACAAATGTTTTATAATGAATCCACCAGTACTTTTATTCGTATTCTTTCGTCTTCTTCCAACTTGTACACGATTGAGTCATTCGCGTCTTCGAGTTGCCCGTCAATGGCTACCAAGGTCAATGAACCAACGTTCAATGTTCACATTCCTTCACAACATTCTTCCGTGTATTTGTCTATTTGATCGACTACCAAGCAACTCGCCTCTATTTTACTGTGTTGTGTGCAGTCTTTTCTGGCTGGTTCCACGATTTCTTACCAGCTTTCATTTACTCCGTTGCCCAACTCTTCGCTTGCCATTTGGTTTCTATTCTAAGGTCTGGCGTGTGATGTCGCCCAATATTCTCCCTATTGTACATCCATTCCATATCCATTTCCTTCTACATATTTCTTGGTTTTGTTTTTTGGTCGGTACGCTGCATTGCCAGAATTTTTGTTGTTCCTCTTTTCTGGATATCTAGTCGTCAGTATCAAGCAAAGACATCTGTTGTTTGTTGATGAGTTTGCAGTAAGATATTGAAAATGCGTTTCGTGACTCGTCAAGTCTGAGCCGCATAGAAGCTCTCACTTGATATTATTAATGAAAATTCTAATATTGTTCCTAATACTGAGTGCAGTAGACTTTCGCAATGATTTCACAATAATGCTTTATCTTATTTTTCGGTTTCTGGCTCTGACATCCTTATCAATGCCAATTTTAGCTGGAGTTATGCCGTTCACTTGACAAATGAAAGAGGTGGATTCCTTCAAATTTTTTAACTCATGGAAAATTCCCATTGTAACATTTAGAAAATCAAAACAAGTGATTCAGCGAAGAGACTCTTTTCAACGAATTTATCATCAAGCTGTACAGTCGTATATATATGGTTTATCAAAAGTTATATCCGGTGAGGGAATTGAATCTTAGGTGTGAATGCATAAAATAATAATAATAATCATATGAAGTTCAATTAAAACTAAAATGTTTGTGATTATAATCGTAGTTAAATGTCAAGTGGCAAAGCAGATTAATGTCATATATAGAATAATTCATAGGAGGGATAGAACTTGAAAAAGGATGTGCAATTATAGGATTAGTAGGCAAATCGAATAAAACAAAAACGTTACGTAATATTGTGTGAAATTTAATAGCATAGAATTTATCGTTGTAAAAAGACAGTAGATTCTCGAAACCGAACGAGAAAAACAAGACGGAATTAATTGAGAAACAACTTACTGATACTTTAAAGAGAATGAAGAACAATCATCTCATTCGTGAAGAATTATACGAAAAGATCAGACCAACAGGATCTCTAATACCAAGACTGTATGGTCTACCGAAAATACACAAAGCTGGAGTTCCACTTCGCCCTATCTTGGATATGTCTGGATCGCCCTATCATCCAGTAGCTGGGTGGTTAGCTGAAATCCTCGAACCAGTCAGGGGGCAACTATCTAATCATTCCCTTCGGGACACCTTCCAATTTGTTGAATGTATACAGGATATAAATGCGTCGAATAAACAAATGTTGTCTTTGGATGTAGAATCCTTATTTACGAACGTTCCACTGACAGAGACCATATGTTTTATATGCAAATATATTGAAGACAACAAATTGAACATAGGGATACCTACTACAGATCTTAAAGAACTACTTTTGAGATGTACATTGAATGTACAGTTTACTTTCAATGAAACAATCTACAGGCAGAAGGATGGTATTGCGATGGGTTCTCCCTTGGGTCCTCTCCTTGCAGACGTTTTTATGTCCAGTCTAGAAAATGGTTCCCTGAAGCCTATGATCCAAAGCTTTCAAATATATAAAAGGTATGTAGATGACACCTTTATTATTTGTAATATTGATTGTGACCTGAATAATATATTAAGTGTATTTAATGAGTGCCATCCTGCGATAAAATTCACACTCGAAATGGAGAACGAGTCTAGCATTCATTTCCTCGATGTGAACTTATCAAGAAGGACCGATGGAACTCTGAAGAGATCGATTTATCGTAGGCTGTTATGGAATGGTCAACTGACAAATTTCTATAGCTGGGTACCTATTGGTCGTAAACGAAACCTGGTCCGGTCGCTTGCCACTCGTATTCGGCGCATATGTAGCACTGATACTGTGGAAGATGAGTTATACACTTTGAGGAAAATCCTAATGGAAAATGGATTTCCACCACGTTTTATAGATAAGAATATACATTCAAAGCCTACAAAACGTGACTTATCAACCGCTCCCAAGAAAATACTTTACATGAGCTTAGAATTCAAAGGGGACTTAGCTTCCGATATCATGAAACGAAGGATATCACAGTCCCTGAAAAGAACATTCCCTGCTGCCTCCCTGAGAATAGCTTTTACTAGCCGACCATTATTGTTCAATAACCTGAAGGACAAGATCCCAATGTTGACCAACTCTATGTGCGTTTATCAATTCACCTGCTCTTGTGGAGCTAGGTATATCGGTCGTTCGACTCGAGTTTTGTCCAAGAGGGTGCAAGAACATTATCCTGCATGGCTACGAAAAGGTGGAAGTGGAGCAATAAGAAGCGCGATCATAGAACATCTGGTCGAAAATGATCACCCTATCTCTATAGCCTCCGCCTTTAAAGTCATCTACAAGGCAAAGAGCAATCTACCTAAATCCCTACGTACCCGACTCATCTGTATTGCTGAAGCTTTGGCTATCGAAACAGAAAAGCCAGATCTCTGTGTACAGAAAAAGTTCGTTCAACCCCTCCAACTTTCATGGTCTTAATCCCTCTATGCTAAAATATGGTAATCCCCAATCATATTTTAGCTCTACCAATTTTTCATTTTTCATTTTGTCTATTCAATTTGTATACTTTTCCTTATTAAGTCAATTGTTATTATTACTATTCTCACTTTGAACTGTCCCCGGTATTATTTCACTTGTTCCACTTGTCATTCTAAATCAATTCTTTTTTACAACGATAAATTCTATGCTATTAAATTTCACACAATATTACGTAACGTTTTTGTTTTATTCGATTTGCCTACTAATCCTATAATTGCACATCCTTTTTCAAGTTCTATCCCTCCTATGAATTATTCTATATATGACATTAATCTGCTTTGCCACTTGACATTTAACTACGATTATAATCACAAACATTTTAGTTTTAATTGAACTTCATATGATTATTATTATTATTTTATGCATTCACACCTAAGATTCAATTCCCTCACCGGATATAACTTCTGATAAACCATATATATACGACTGTACAGCTTGATGATAAATTCGTTGAAAAGAGTCTCTTCGCTGAATCACTTGTTTTGATTTTCCTTCAAATTTGTCCCATTGGTGGTGATGAGTGATGCTTGATGTCTATCTTTTTTCGATCACTTGAAATCTTGTCTTTATTGCTTTTCCTGCCAACTTGTTGACTTTCACCTGTAGGTTTTCAAGTATAGCTAAAGAAATGGAAGTTTGCTGCAAAAGCAGTAGGGAAGGCTGTTGATAAATTTCTTCCAGTGGATTTCTATGGTTTCATCAGAACAGAGCTATGCTTGGAGACATTGTGACTGACGTCGAACATGACCAGGAACGAAATCCGCTTGAACATAAGCTGATGACCCCGAACATTGGCGAATGATAATAGCGGAAAATCTCTATGGCAGTCAGGAATAAATAATACGCAATAGCTGTTTATATTGATTAAGAAAATGTGTCCTTTGTTGGGTGAGATAATGCAAAGAAGTTCAGTAACTTCTGAGCAGGAATGATAGCAACGTGGGGTAAGACACTTTAAGAAGAATTTCAGCTATCCTGTAGCGCTGCGCTGTAATTGCTTAGTATCCTACTTCAACAGAGTAGCTAAGGTTGCGAAAACTGCCCCTATAGTTTGGTTTGTAAGAGTTAGTTATGTTTTTAAAAGTTGATCACGGATTGGTATCAGTTAGAGAACCATTGAAAACCCGGGTTCGAATCCCAGTGGGTGCGTACTTGCTTTGATTCCCAAACTAGGGTGAAACAGCAGCTGTCCAGTACTCCCTGGTTTTCAATGGTTCTCTAACAGATATCAATCCATGATCAACTTGTAAAAACTACCTTTAATCTAAAACCAAGAAAATATATTAGGATGTGTCTCTATGACTGCAGATTTGCTTAAAGATGGTGGTGATAAGATTTTGGCGGGTTGAAGTGGGATTTTAGCTATCAGGGCAATATTTCATTGATATTGAATCGCGCAGATGATATTATTTTAGATGAAGACTCTGAAAATTGTGACAACTGTTTTTATTTCTCGCTGATACATTTTTAACGAACTAAGTAATGAGGGAATGGTTTATTTTAATTTTAGAAATCTATATTGTCAGACCCCGAGCATCCTCTTTATACGCAGCTCTCTCCTTGCATTTCATTTGGTAGAACTAGAAGCAGCTATAGGAGGCTTTATGCTAGGACCACCAATTACAAAAACTCCACAATACGTTATCTGGCACTGCTGTTATGTGATGAGAAATCCGTTAGATATGACACGATCAACTTACTGCGGCACTCTAACAAATAGTTCCCATTAGATTTTGTTTTCCTTTCTTCGTTACTATTATATTGTTGTTCACATTTTCTATTACACACTAATTTTATATTTCATATCCTGTGGTGCATTGTCTGAAATGTAAACGCAATGCTGTTCTTTTTTATTTCTTTTTATTTATCTACTCTTTTTGGTTGTTGCTTTTTGTTTTCAAAATCTTATAAAATTTATGAGGTAATTAGATGCAATATTGTAATGCACGCTGAAAATTCCATACCTGTACCACAAATACTGTTTGGAATAAAGCTGTTTTTTTATAAGAAAAAGGCACAAACAGCGAAGAAAATTTTCTTTTCGACGATTCATTTTCATGAGCTGTACAATCGTAATTATAATTAACACAGAGATTTTTTGACCAATCAGATACTGGTAAACTTTGTCCTTGAAAATTCTACTTCATAATGTGAGGTATAAGAAGGGATGACTAATTGTAAGTTAGAAAGGAGACAGAAGTTGACATGACCTAATAAGTGTGAGACAATGACTAATCAATAAGCTAGTGTAGAATGGACAGGAACTAATGGTAAGGCTGTAAAGTAGTTTTGTATAAGATCTGTGCGAAAAAGCAATGTTATTAATAAACAGTAGTAGAGTGGTAATAAAATGTGGATGGTGGGAATAGTAATAATAATAAAAGTATGAAGAACAGTGATAAAAATAATAAAATAATAGTAGTGAACTTACATATTAAAAGACGGGAGCAAAATTATAGTAAGAAATTTACTCTGGCCATGGTAGGGCTAGAGAATGTATGTATCGTTTTTGTATGCACAAGTCCGGTTTTACGTTTCGAATAGCTAATGCTTCAGCTATGTACAGATTTCGTATCCAGAGTCCTTTTGTACGATATTGAGGGACTCTGTGTACCACTGTGAAGCATTCATGTGGGCGTGCTCGATGTCCGGAGATGACAAGGTGTTCGAGGATTGAGCTGTTGCTGTTCTTTTTTTCTCCTCTGGCTAACCAAGCTGGGCAGTGATCCAGGATACGTTTGTGGACTTGACGTTGCGTACGGCCGATATACTTTACTCCACACGAGCAAGTAAATTGATAAATACACATTGAAGTGGCCAAAAGTGGTATCTCGTCCTTAACGTTAGACTGGATTAACTGTCTGCAGGAGAATGTTATACGTAGAGTGGCTGTTGGGAGGCTGTTTATTGTTATTATTACATTGGTTAACCCTCGGATTTTATATTGTTATCTTCAAATATTTAAAATAACAGTGTATCTGGTATTCTGATACAGTTTGTGTCCGCTTCACTTTTTGTGGTTGGGATAATTAGGCAAGTATTTCGTTAACTTCTAGTGTATGTTACATTTCTTAAAAATGGTAACACTTAGGGTGTTATTGCTAATTTTATCATGTTATTCAACTTTGTAGGAACGTGTTGTTTCGATGGAACATGAATTATCCACTTTACGCGGCATTGGTGAAAATCCTGGACCTAGAGAAGTTCTGTTGAGTGGTCAGTTAGAACGTTTAAAGGGAGATTATGTTCGTCTTGAGGAAGAATTACAGGTGAATAAAGTATCTTATATTCTAATGGCTTCATGTCTTCTTTATCTCAGAATTCTCTTTTTAATACATTAATTGATTTTCTCTTCATTCAGGCGACACGTACTCGTTTACAAGCTGCTCTTGGTGCAGAGGCTAAAGCATTGGAAGCTGAAAAAGCTGCAAGTGAACGTTTAGCTGCAAGTGTAGCAGAAAGAGATGCAGCTGTTGATCGAGCTAGAGCAGTCTGTGAGTCTCATTATACTGCAATGCGTCGACGTTTGGAAGTGGATTGGGCGAATGACAAAGAAGCGTATGCGCGTCGTGCTGAAGAGAAGCTCGCAGATATGAGGTTAGAGTTTGAGTTTATGTTATGCTTACGTTTCGAATTAGCAATTTTACAACTAATTATCCTCCCTTATATATATATATATATATATATATATATATATGTATATACAAAGCTTCACAGTAGTTAGATATTCCACTAGTTCACGAGTTGTTTCAACGTTAGTGATTGATTGCATGGAGAATTTCATCCAATCAAACACAAAATCCCTACAAAACCGATACTTGAACGTTAGTGGTCAATGTTTATAAAACTATTATTCAATGGTTAGGACTCTCGCCGACCATGAACATGGTTCGGGGTTCGATCCCCTGCCGACGCACACCTGATATCTATGGTCGGCCTGCAAAATTTGGGCTACCGATATCACATGCTGAGAATTCCATACTTGTACCAAAAATACGGTGTGGAATCAAGCTATAATAAAAAATTATCTATATGGGGTCTTGCTGATTGACTTCTCTGGTAATAGTGTCTTGCTAGTATAACTTATTTAGAAGTCTAAGAAAAAGTTCGAATAGCTTTGTAAGATTTTTTTATTCCCTTATGTTCCCAGTGGAATTTAGGGCTTCAAGCTAGAGGCTTGAAGTTTCCATAGCACTGGTGTTTATTCCAACGGAAAGGGGGTTGCCCAATCTTCCCTCTTTACTAGTCTTATTAACAGCTTAGCGAGGTTAAGGAATGCATTGGCGGGGATCGAACCTCGAACCACCCGCGTAGTCGGTGAGCACTCTATGGCTGTACCACCGACGCTTTGTAAGATATCAAGTCATTTTGTGCTTGTCTATTTTATGATCTCCGGTAGTAAATACATGCGAATAACTGACATTCTGCTATTGTTGTTAATACCAGTTTTCCTCTAACTCCGAGTACTATCAATCTTGTATTTTAAGAGGTGTATCGGAATATTTGTTTGGAGAATCCTTACTGAACAATCTATTTACGATATTGCTACTTATTTAGACATTCCATCTACCTTTGTAAAATGGAATGTACCTCTAGGAAAATGGCAAGTCCCTTTTTATGCATTGTCACGTCACGTCTCTTATTTGAGTTTAATTAAAGATCATTCATGGTCTAACTCCAAAGTAGCCTGAGAGGAGTTTAGGCGAGAAAATGGAATTGTAATTTCTTGGGTTCCTGGCTAAGCATGAAGCAGAATTGCAGTATTTTCCAAGACAGCTAGGCTTGTTAAAACTGTCCAGTGATGATAGGGAAGTCCCTGATTCCCTTACTTAAACAGCACCGTCCTTAATGTCTACTTCCAGTCAGCAAACAAAGGTCAGAAGAAGTGTCATAAACTTCCCCATCACCATCGAATAGGTATAACAGGCTTAGTTCTCTTTGAAAACATTGCAATTCCGCTTCATGTTTATCCTGAAACCCAGGACATTCCAAATCCATTTTTCGTCTAAACTCTTCCAAGGCTACTGTAGAGTTAGACCAAACATGACCATTAACTAAACTCAAACGACAGCCATGACATAGAAATGCAAAAAAAGGAACAATGCTGTAGGGCAGCTACACAAACAAATACTTTACAGCGCAATTATTTCACCAAAATCAACCGTATGAAGGCCCAGAGAATCATGAAGAATATTCCCAACAAGGTGTGATCAAAAACCTCCCTGTAAGAATCATGATTTTTAGTATAATAGTTCCCAGTTCGTCGGACTCACGGGGTACGTCGTTATGCTTTCCCCTGGATTTCGTTAAGTTTGTTTTGACAGTAAACTCCAGTGTAACCTATCTTCATCTGTTTTAGAAAAGAGCTTTATGGGATGCAACAGGAAGTTCAACGGATTACAAATTTATATCAGGAAAGTCAAGTATCTGCTAAGAAGGCTATAGAAAATGCCCTACTGGAAGTGAGTAGTAGTAGTATTAGTAATAGTAGAATACTAGTAACATTATTTCTATTTGTTGTATTTATGCATAATATGTAAAAGGGATGATTTCGAGATCCTTTATGGGAGTGGAGGGTAGGCTAATAAGCCACATCGAAATGTCCCTTCATTCATTACTGAGCATTTAAGTAGTTTGCTTATATATTTTATTATTTTCTGCATGGGTTATTTCAATAAACAGTTTTATTGTATAGTTCTGTAACTGATAAGAAAATTACAATCAATAGTAGTTAGTTCGCGCTCGTGTGTGCTTACGACTAAACGGACGTAGGAAACAGCCGGTGGTAAACCCATCACGTCCCTAGCTCGATCAGGAAAATAAATCCCTATTTAAGGAAGAACTAGCTAAACACATATCTGAGTTTGACAGTTGTGCGCACCCTGAGGAAGCCTGGAAGAATATTCAGTCAGCCATAGATACAGCTGTAAAAGCTGTGAATGAGGCAAATCCAAAGGTGAGTAAAAACCATTGGATCTCTACCGCCTCATCCTAACTGATAGATGCTAGAAGACTTATTCCGGCGAGCTCCGAATTCAGTGAGAATAGAAAGCTGCACAAAAGGAAACTTATGAAAAGTCTCCGCAAGGACCGTGAACAGTGGTGGCTGACAAAGGCAAAAGAGATGGGAAAAGCATCGGCGATAGGCAACACTAGGCAACTCTTAGACTCATCGGGGAAACGGGTGGGAGAAGGCAAATCATAAGTAAGACTATTTCTGAGAAAAATGGCTCCTTAATTAGCTCTCAGGATAGACGCCTTGAACGCTGGAAAGAACACTTTGAGGGACAATTTAACTTACCTACAGCCACACTGAACCTCCCCGACATCCAGCACACACCCGAATGGGATATAGACACTGGTCCGCCGTCTGTAAGTGAGGTCACAAAAGCTATCAGTAATTTGAAACGAGGCAAAGCGGCAGGACCCGACGGAATTATTCCGGAGGTGTTTAAATATGGGGGTGACATACTAGTTTGTAGATTAACTGAGGTACTAGGCAAAGTCTGGGAATCAGAGACAGTGCCATCAGACTGGGGTAAGTCACTTATTATACCGATATTCAAGAAGGGAAACAAGTCCTCGTGTGATAATCATAGAGGGATCAGCCTAGACTCAGTAATCATGCACAGACTAAGCAGAACTCCGGAGGAACAGACAAGGGAAAATCAAGCAGGCTTTAGACCAGGTAGAGGGTGCATAGATCATATCTTCACTCTTCGACAGATTCTAGAACATAGACACACTTTTCGGCGTCCAACAATTGTCATATTTCTTGACTTGAAGGCGGCCTTCGACTCCGTGGATCGAAAGGTACTATGGCAATGTCTGACTGTGAAGGGAGTGCCAAGAAAGTACATTGCACTAATCAAGGCACTCTATTCAAACTCACGTAGTCGTGTAAGGGCTTATGGGGAATTGTCATCTGAATTGATAACAACCAGTGGTGTCCGACAGGGATGTCCACTTTCCCCATTTCTGTTTAACTTCATCATAGATATGCTAATGGAAGTATCCTTAACTGAACGTAATGACTTAGGAATCGACTTGTTACCAGGGAATAATCTTATGGACTTAGAATATGCAGATGACATAGTCCTGTTAGGGGAAGTTGCTGACAAAATGCAGAGTCTTCTGAACACCTTGAGCAGCAATCTTCGTATGTTTGGCATGCGATTCGCCCCTACAAAATGTAAGATGCTGCTACAGGACTGGACCACGTCAACTCCTAACTTAGTGATAGGGAGTGAAGTGATAGAACATGTTGACCACTTCACCTATTTGGGAAGTTGTATTAGCACCAACGGACTGATTGGCGATGAAATCTCAGCACGGATCCGAAAAGCTCGAGCTGCTTTCGCTGACTTACACCATCTCTGGCGTAGGCGTGACATCCGGTTATCAACCAAGGGACGTGTGTACTGCTCATCAGTTCGCTCCGTCCTTCTCTATGGCTCTGAAACATGGCCAATACGAGTTGAAGACATGAAAAGGTTGACTGCTTTCGATCATAGATGTCTGCGATCTCTGTCTCACGTTAGGTGGTTTAATAAGGTAAGTAATGTTGACGTTAGGCGTAGAGTGTTGGGCAAAGAGGGAAAATCAATCGACGAGGCTATAAAGTTACATAGATTGAGATGGCTAGGTCACGTGCTGCGCATGCCTAACCACCGCCTCCCCCGACGGGCATTGCTAGCTGATAAAGGTGCAGGTTGGAAAAGAGCCAGTGGTGGCCAAACAAAAACATGGCCTCATCAATCCATGAAATCCTTGACAGTTAAACTGAGTCAGGTAGGGAGATGCAGACTCCCGGGTTGGGGCCCTCGGGACTCTAAGAATCAATGGCTGGAGACAATAGGTGACATGGCTCAAAATCATTGTCAATGGCCAGCTCAGATGTCTGTCTGTCTGTCTGTTTTCGACATAGAACTTTGCACAAATGTGCGGAAGTTCAAGTCGCCACATTCCGTGTAGCACGCGAAGCAAGAGAAGAAAGTACAAGAAAAGCATAATAGAAACAGTGAGGAGAGGTGTGAGACAAAGGAGTAATAAAGAAATACAAAACAATTTCATTGAAGATCATAAGTCACAGGGAGTGGATGCATCTGCGCCACTGAGAACGATTTTGAGCCATGTCACCAATTGTTTCCAACCATAGATTTTTGCCGTCCCGAGGACCCCAGCCTGGAAGTCTACACCTTCCTACGTGGCTAAGACCAACTGTTGTGGATTTCATTGACTGATGCCAAGTTTTTGTTTGACCGCCGCTAGCTTTTTTCCAGCCTGACCCTATATCCGCTAACATAGCTCGCCGAGGGAGGCGATGACTTGGCATACGTAACACATGTCCTAACCATCTCAGTCTTTGTAGCTTCACGACTTCGTCGATTGATTTCCCCTGTTTACCTAGAACTCTACGCCTAACCTCCATGTTGCTCACCTTATTATGCCAGCTCAGATGTATTCAGTCTCTGTAATCTTTCATATTCCTTTCTACCATTACCCATTCTGTTTCACTCGTATACTTGTCAAACTCTATTGATTCTCTTCAATCATCTTCTTGTCTACCTCTGTGTGTTATTTGGAACGTGGCAACTCGAACTGGTGCACTTCGGTGACAAGTTCTATGTTGAATCAAAACAGACAGATAGTGGTTAGTTCTAAACCAGCCATGTATGTCTGGTTCATTTCGTGTTTTTGTATTGATTGTCTACGGTGGTATGCAATATACTTAAACATCGAACCGTGGACCTTCGGGTTACGAGGCGGAATGGGTAGAAGTTAGAAATCATGGGCCATTGAATCGGGTCTCAGTGGCTGAATGGTATCCGAGCCTGCATTGTAACCGGAAGGTCCTAGGTTCTAACCTCCGGTATTGGATGCGTACCGCCGATGCGTCCCAAAATAGAACGAAACATGTTCAGTACTACCTGGTTTTCAATGATTCTCTAACATATATATATGATATGTTTGGTTGAATTTAATAATTAGCGTTATCTCTGCGTGTATTTTCTCTCTGGTTTTCTTGTGAATTAATTACTTAGCATTCTTTGATAGTGGTAGTTCATTTTAATTTTCTCTACTTAGTATAGATTTTGTTATATGGTACTAACTTTTAGGCTATGAAGTTAAGAGAAGCTGAAAGAATGAAATTTTGGAGAGAAGAGCTTCCTGAACAAGTAAGTATTTTATAAAGTGGTTTGTTTTTTCATCGCTCATCAGGAAGGCTTCGTGTTCTTTTGTAAGTGTTGTGGGCGGTTGTTACTTCCCGGCTGCCCACACCGTGGAATTTGATTAATTCTTCGGGCACCTAAAACAGAAAGAGGGTTAGTGTCGTGTGACCGCAGAGCCCAGGGGACAACTGCTTGAGGCCGGTCACACACAGCCTGGTTTCTGGGATTGGTTCCGTGATAGTAAACTTACCGCTGGTTACGGACCACCGTAGGGTAAGTCGGGATGTACAATTTTTGGGGTCGACCTTTTCTAACCCCCTCCCTCCGGAGTGGAGAGACAGCATAATCGGCTGTCATGCTGGTCATCTGAGGGAAACACCTCACTGCTGTTAGACCCTTGTTCCCCACCAGTACGACTTCGCCTTCAGATCCCCAGCATAGTGTAAGAAAGATTCTTACACAATGCCGGTGACTACTTTTAGTCTAATCGCTATCTTAACAACCTTCCTGGCATGGCAGGACCTGCAGGAACATATGTTACAGCCAGTGTAGCTTGTTGGGTCATCGCGATGTGCGAGCCTGACCACCACGTCAAGGTAGTAGCTATCGGTCGGGCATCGCTCATCTACTTCATTGAGATGAAAGAAGCCTTCCTTGACTTACAAATGTCAACTAATTAAGTAGAATTAACAAAATAAATGAATGTTTGTGTCTGGAGGATTGAATTTCAAATTGGAACTTTTCAAAGAATGAAACTTGTTCATGTTGCCACACTCCCTATAGCATACAAATATGTTGAAACTGAAAGAAAACAGACATTCAAAAGAAATAAAATGAGCAGAAATGTACGAGAGAAGGAATAATTACACAGAGAGGCATGATGACTTAATCCACCTTGAAGATTACAAAGAGTGAATTCATCTAAGTCAATGAAAACAACCTTGAACTGTATCACTGATAGTCTCCAACCACTCATTCCACACCTTTTGTACGTGTCTTCCCCAAACTAGCGGTCAACGACTTCACGAACTGAAAAAAAGTTTTGCTTTGAATACGCCTAACTTATTTCCGACCTAGTCTTACGTCAGCTATCATTCTTTGTCTAGCAAGCCGGTGGCTTGGAATGCATTGGGATCTCAATCAATGTACCTTCACCACCTCAGAAAAATTGTAAAATCATTTATTTCTCATAATCTCATTTTTGTTTCTACAACTACCTTGCCCTGGCGAATTTGGAGGCTTTTATCGTTGTCTTTTATTTAGTATTTAGGTTAGTATCGGACTATGAACCACACATAGTGTAAGGACTAATAGTACTGCCCAGTTGCGCAGACTGATTTATTTGCAGAAAGAGATTCAAACTCAGGATCGACTAGCTGAAAGCTGGGTGATTAATTTCGATATGAACGATATATGTATTCTAAATGAGCATTTATTTTTCTAGACTGTCTTGTGTTTTCACTTTTCAATTTCGTAGATTGAAGTTGCGCGTCAGTCGTGGATATCGGAGATGAAAGGACAACATACAAGTGTCAATCCTAGTAAGTGTTGAATATTTGTTGATTTAGGATAATTATTTCTCCAGACATCATCAACCACTGTTTATTTCATGATCATTTTCTTATAATGCGTGTTACAGAAGACATAAATTCTCCAGAATGGTGTATGTGTAGACAGATTTTAAGTTTACTTGATTGATGATAGCCAAGACCATGTGTCGAATGGATATAAATGCATCCAAGTAGGTGATGGTGTTTTAATAAGGTTTTAAGATTAGCTCCTTGCAATTTCAGTTTAACACTGTCACTTAGATGCAGTCGTTGTATCAGGATACTTCAATGGTTCAAGTAGAGAAGTCGTGTCAGTCAGAAAAGTATATTGGTGGCACTGGAACCCACGTGGCTGTGTGAGACCTTGTGAAGAGTTGTCGTCCAGAGTGGTGACAAACAGTGGTGTTCATCAGGGACACCCCGTGTCCTCGTTTCTGTTTGACTTCATCATAGATGTCCTAATGGAATTGACTCTAATTGAGTTTAGCGACTTAAGGGTTGACTTATTACCAGGGCGCAGTCTTGTAGACTTAGATTACGTGGATGACACTGTTCTCCTAGGTGAAGACGCCTACAAATTCTTCTGCACTTCTTGGGCAGGAATCTTCGAACGTTTGGTATACTATTCGCTCTTATCAAATGTAGGATGATGCTACAGGACTAGACTGTACCAACCCTTAGTTTAAGGATAGAAAGTGAAGTGGTTAGCATAAAAATTTGAAGTCTGTTATTATTATTGTTTTCTTGGGTCCAGAGAGGGAGATAGGGCCTCGAAAGCACATCTGCATTTCACACAACTACCTGTAATCTTTTTCAGAACGGAAACTTTGCAGTCAAGTCATCCAGCTCCGAGAACACGACCGCATAAAAAAATTAAACCACCTATGCTAAAAATCTCTGTTATTTCAGGATAGCTCAGCTAACTTGACTTCTACTCACTTTTCGTTTTATTTTTCGTAGGTCATAAAAGCGTGCAAACAGAACCATCTGCTGATAACTCTCACGCCTCACAGTCTTCTGTACATGTCCAAACTGTAAGTTGTCACTTGCTTCAATTAGGCGAATATTTGAAAATTAATAAAACGATATATTTCTTTTGTTTACATTGATCTAAAGCAAATATATACAATTATTATCACCATGTTTGTTCTTTCTCATTGTACACTTTAATGTTCTCAACTTTAGCTTGTTTTATTTTTTAAGTCCATCGTTTAAGGCTTTTATCATTGAGGAATATTGCTGAGTCACAGTAAAATACATGCGTTCTATGTTGTGTTTTTTTCCACTTTTCGCGTTCCAAGTGGAATATAGGGCTTCAACCTCCGTGTTTACTAGACTAGCTTTCATATTTCTTTCTTCTCCGAGCCTACTATGAGCTAGTAAACTAGTTAAGGTGTGGGGTTGTGTCATTGGGGAATCAAACTTAGATCTCCCACGTGTCTGGCAACGCTTTTAGGTGACCGCTGTATCCTGCAGCAAGTTACTGATGTTACTGGGATGCATTATTAAAGTCGATAACATAGTATCTGATAATTCATCGTATGAACCACGAAACATAAACTCATTATTTAGCATTGGGAATTGATTTCATTTTCGTATCATGTATAACAGAATTGTCTTTTTTGTTTCTTCTTTTCTTTTACCTTTCAGAGCCTTTGTGATCTACTATCAATTAAGCTTGGATTAAACTTGAGTGATAATTCAACATTCGATAATACTGAAGCGCTTGAAATCAAGTCAATTCTACTTAATAAATATCCTATATTATCTCAATTCATGTCTATGGAATGTCTTCATTATTTATGTACACATTTAATTGAAACACCGTGTATGCATTTATTATATTTGGAGAAAGAAATTTCAAATTCTTTTCATACTCTCCTTGAAATACGACTTCAAAATTTCTTGAAACAAGTGAACAATGAATTGAAGAAATTAATCGATGAATATAAAGTAAGTGTGTTTTATTATGTTTTTATGTTACTTATTTATCTTGAATAATGAGTTCATAAAAGAGATCACATGATGGGAAGATGAGAGGCTTATGAGCAATCGCGTGGGGTCATCTGAAGAGGATTGCTAAGAATCAGACGAAATGGAGATGTGCTCCTGAAGCCTTATACTGCACTCAAAACCCAAGGAAATAATTAATGAATTATTACTTACACCACGACCTTGCCCTCTCCTTGGTTTTTAATGATTCGCTGTATCACTGTGCCACATCATATATGCGCGTCCTTTCAAAACGTGTTGGAGAACATTACCCAGCGTGGCTGCAAAGAGTAGGCACCGGTTCAATCAGAAGTCCCATTATTGAACATCTGATCAACACCTCCCACAACATCTCAACTGTTTCTTTCAAAGTAATTTACAAAGTCAACAGAAACCTACCAAAAGCAGTATGTTTCCGACTTCTCTGTACTACAGAATCCCTCGCAATATGCATCGAGAAGCCGGAGCTATATGTTCAGAAGAAATTAGTCCAACCTCTACAACTACCATGGGCCTAGTTAAGTATGTTTCCTTAGCTACTTATTTTTCTTCTTTTGTTCTCTTTTTTCTTTTCAATCTTTTTTCGTTCACTGTGTGTGTGATTTTTACTCCTTCTGTCTTCATTTTGATTCACCCCATTTTTCAGTTATAAAAAGTTATTTTAAGTTTGTTTCCATGCTTTTCCTGTTCACATTCATAATTCGTTTAAAATAACAATTTTACAATTGTCTTAATCTTGAACAGTTTTTGTGTTCCTAAGGCTCTTATAATCTATATTCACACCTCCTAACTCCCATCTCAAGTTTATAATTATTATTTTAATTTAGTTTCCATGTGCATTTTTGCACACTTGTTATCCGTTTTAATCCTATGTAATTTTGTTTCTAAGCCTCTCGTAAACCATATCTAGTTGAAAATTATTATCACCTTTTATTCGCCGTCGTAATTATGTGGAGTCAAATAAGAACTGTATCCATGTAAAATTGTGTATTTAAATGCGGTTGTACAGCTTTTGAAAATGAAATCACCGAAAAGGCAGATATCTTTGCTGAACTTCATGTTCTCTTCTTTCAAATGTCCATACGGGTGTTTTCCACGACCACTTAATATAGTCAAACTGATGTTGAATTGTATTCTTTTACATTGATAGAAAATTGCTCTTCATGGGATTAATTATTCATCTTCATATAGTTCAATATATCTTGCATTTCTTTGGTATTATTAGATTTATATCGGATTAAGTGAAGTATTGTTATTATTACTGTTCCATTGGGTTCCGAGTGGAACATTGGGCTTCAACAACACATCTCCACTTTGATCTATTTTCGTCTGTCCTCTTCAGCTGGGCGCACGATTGCCCATAATCTCTCTTCTCCTTGCACGATCTTCTCCATGTTACCCTTAGACAACCCACCCATTGTTTCCTATCGAGGTTCCACTCGAAGGCCTGGTGTATGATGCCATTCGATGATATCCTCAGAGTATGCTCAATCTATCTCCACTTTCACCTACATATTTGTTGGATGGTATTTTTTTTTGGTTAGTCTGTTCCCATAGCTTCTTTTTGCTAACTCAAGTGAAGTATACGATTGCCAAATTCATAACTTCATCTTTCACTAGTAAAAAGTGTAGGCTATCCAGAAAATGTATTGTATTTCTTGGTTAGTGAAGATTTTTCAATGTTTTATTGCGAAGAACTGAAACTCATCCAAATTGTTAATTCTAAATAATCGAGTGTCTTCACATGTATTGAAATTTGTTCAGTGTGGCATATTCATCTTTTCAACTTATATTATGTGTATACATGTAGTCGGTGACTAAATGCTTATATCTAGCATCATAAAAATTTTAAAAATTATTCACTTGAACACATTCGTTCACCATAGTATTTATTCTTCAAGGCTTAGCAGTGAATCCCATGATTTATGTTTTATCGTTTTCCACACTTCTTAGCTCTATACCGGATTACACTCCATTTAACACTTTCATTATTTTATTTTACTCCTTTGCCATAGGAGTAAAGCATCGAGCTTTGAAGTTTTATTAGCAGCGCTGTTACGTTTTATACGCCCAACTTTCCTTGTTTATTTGGCTGACTACCAGCTAAACAAGGTTCAGAATTGTGTCGTCTGGGTTTTGAGCCCCGGACCACATTCACAGTTGGTTAGCATGCTACAGCTGAACCATGTCCAATTTTTATTTATTATTATTATTGCTCCCTTGGGTTCCTAGTGGAACATAGGGCTTCAACTGCACGTCTCCATTTGCTTCTGTCTTCTGCTGTACTTTTCACATGCATCCATGTTAGTCCATACTCTTTCAACTCCTCTTCACACGATCTCCTCCATGTCACCCTTGGACGTCCCACGTCTCCAATTTTTACTTCAAAATTATTGTTTGTCATGTGAAATAGAAGAACGGAAAGCTCTAGGTTGTTGAACTGAAAAATTCATATATCGCACAATACATAATACGTAAATTATCAAGTTTTACTTTTCATTTAGCCATACAAATGGAATGGTCAAAAATCTTAATTCACCTTATTTTTCTCTGTCTAGGTGACGCATATTTTCAATGAAAATGTTAACAAGACTGTTTTGTCAGATGACGCTGTGATTTTAAAATACTTTGATCCGCTACAGTCAGTATCTGTGATTAGAGAACCTGAGAAAACAACTGCCGAGTGTATTGCACATAATCTAAGTGTAAAAACTTCAGATAATCAGTTGTCTAACACAATTAGTAGTGAATATCAATCATTAATTACAAAAATTCGTGTATTAACTTCAAGCGTGAGTAAATCAAGCGAATGTGCACCACCATCTGATCTACATAATTCACTGTCGACTTATGAACATAAATTTGTACAAGTTAGCGATCTTGAAGCTCCTTATTATTATTCTATCCTTGAAAAAATTAAAGGTATGTGTGTATTCTAACTTTTTAAGCTGTTTTTCATTATCTCATGATACTAATATTTATTCTTGTGATTTTTGAATAAATGTTACTATATTTATGTCCATTATGCGAAATAAACTAAACCATTTTGACTGGTTTCAACGTAGAACTTTGCACAGATTTGCAGCAGTTCGAGCTGCTACACTGCATGTAGCATAAAAGCAAGAGAAGGGAGTAAAGAGAGGTAATAAGTAGAAATATGAGGCGAAAAGAATAGTAATATGAAAAAACAACAGAATTTTATTGGATATTATGAATCACAAGGAGTGGATGCATATGAGCCATTGATAACCATTTTGAGCCAGCTGTTGGTTTTTATCGTCCTGAACACCCCAACCAGTCAGGAAGTCTACACTTCCCGATGTGGCTGAAACTACCTGTTAAAGGTTTCATAGACTAATGCCATTGTTGTCGTTTGACTACCAACAGCCCTTTTCCAACATGGTCCTATGTCAGTCAGCTAATAATTGCCTGTCGAGGAAGTTTGTAGATGGCTAGGCATGCGTAACACATGTCTTAGCCATCGCAGTTCATGTAGCTTCACAAGCTCATCTATTTACTTTCCCTTCTCACCTAACCCTCGACGCCTAACCCACCGTTTTATGAAACCTAACACGGCAGATGGAAGGCAGCCACCTATGATCATAGACAGCTAACCGGTATTTTCATGTCTTCCACTTTCAGTGGCTATGTCTCATCGTCGTAATAGAGAAGAGAGCCAACTTCTGAAAAATGCACATGTCGTTGGATTGATAGCCGGATATCGCGTCTACGCCATAGGTGGCATTAGTTGGCATATGCCAACCGAACCTTTTGTATCCGTGCTGAGATTTCGTCGGCGATTAATCCGCTGGCGTTGGGGCAGATTCAGCTTCCCAAATACGTGAAGTAGTCACCACGCTCTACCACTTCACTCCCTATTTGTACGCTAGGAGTCAATGTAGTCCAGTCCTGTAGCATCATCTTACATTTGATGGGAGTGAACCGCATCCCAAACATTCTCAGATTACTGGTCAAGGTGTTCAGAAGACTCTGCATTTCGCCAACGTTTTCGCCTGGGATGAGGGACTATATCATCCGCGTGTATATTCTATGCCAACAAGATTATTCCTTGACAACAAGTCAATCCCTGAGTCTCTGAAGTGAGTTAGGGTTAATTCCAGTAGTACATCTGTGATGAAACTAAACAGAAATGGGCAAAGTGGGCTGGCATCCCTGATGGACACCACTGATTGTCACCACTTCAGATGAGTACTCTCCATAGGTTCTCACCTGGTTGGTTGCATGATTTCGAGTAGAATGCCTTGATCAGTGTAATGTATTTTCTTGGCATTCCCTTCACAGTCATTTTAGGATTAGGTTGTCACAGTTACTGTAGATATTATCTGAATGGATTATGAGTGTTTGATTTATTTAGTGAAGGGCTATTGTTGAAGAGTTTTTTAATCACTTTCTAGAGACCAATAGACTAACGATTTGGTAGCCAGATTTCTTCACTGTGTCGGTTATTCGGTCTTTCGCTAGTTGTCTAAATGAAAATAACTCATATATCATTATAGAAGTACATCAGTCAACATTGTTATGGTAACTTTTAGTAGTATTAACGAATCCATCATATAAGATGGGTAGTGTTCTACCACGACTTTGGAAGCTACCATGCAATTCACTGGACTGTGTGCTTATGGAAGTTGGTTGGCGGTTATTTCTTCCTGGCTTTCGAAACTATGGAGGTCGATTTCTCCTTCGGGTTCCTTAAACAGGAGCATTTGTGTTACGTGACCGTAAAGTCCAGGGGACAACTGCTTGAGGTCTGTCACACTACCTGCTTGAAGTAGTTTTTGCAGTAGCGGACGGCCGAAAGGTTAGTCGGGGTGTACGATTTTTTAGACTCAGCTTTTTTATACCCCTCACTCCTCCAGAGAAAATAGGTGGCATAACTGGCTTGTTGGTCATCACCTTCAGTTACCTTCATGTTCATCAACAGCACGACTTTGCCCACAAACTTTCAACTTAGTGTAAATGACTTATACTGTGCTGGTAGCTGCTTCTGGTCAAACTGCTATTCAGGCAATGTTTCTGGCGAGGTTGGGTTTACAGAAACATAAGTGCTAGTCAGTGTAGATTGTTGAGTTGGTGTGCAATGGAAGCCCCACTACTGCACCAAGGTAGCAGCTATCGACCTATAGACAATTATGAATAAATGTTACATATATGGTTATCGAAACACACATGGCGCATTTGTAGGATTCTACATAAAGTAACTTTCATGTTACAACTCATACATGCTAAAAATTCCAGTAATAATAACCAACGCTTAAAAAGGTTTTTAACACGTAAGTACGATCTTTGGTGCAGTATATAATTCTTGTTTTTAATCTTCTCTAGGTGATGTATTAAAGTATGTTGAGTTATGCCAGTCTCGCGCTGCACAAACACTTCATACGGAGCTGTTTCGCATACACAAAAGAGCATGCAGACAATTCACTTGTCAACTTCGCAAAGCTCTGCTTGATGCTGGTGCACCACCAGTTTCCTCTACTACTTGGCATACACGTCTTAATAAAACTACCAATGTTCCTCAAGAAGTGAATTCTAACCACAGCAAATGTATACCTCATGATATCAGCTGCAATTCTCAGAATTCCAAATTAAAGGAACCCGAAAGTGTGATTATACCTCCTATGTCAAAGTAATTTTCACTTTTTTTGGTGTGGTGTACATAATTAAAGACTATTCTTTATTTTGATACTACACGAAACAGAAAAATTCCTCATAATGGTTATCGATGGACATGTTATTATTGTGTCGTACTACTCGGTCTGTCCGTGAAGTAAAGTGCTGATAGTATTTTCGTTGAACTATATAAAATGCTTTAGAATTGTCCTTTATTTACAGATGTCGAATATTCTGATACTTAGTCTTTCTTCTTACAACAGAAATAGATGTGTATCCAAGAAAGGTTTATGATGACCATTATAACATGTCGCCAAGCGGCAACAGTTTAGAGTGACTGTAAGTGATAATACCAGCTGGTTCTGGGACCAGTTGAAATCTCTGAGAAAACATCAATTCCTTTGGTTATTTCAATGGGAACGTTTCTAAATGTCAAAGTTTGCCCAGAATCTTCAGTTAGTCTGAACAAATAAGTATTTCGTACACAATTCTAAATACGCATGCATTTGCTTGTCATTTTTATTATTTAATGTACTAATTAGACATGTTGAGTTTCACTCTGCTTTTGTCCTCGTCCTTTATTCAGTGATTGGGTCTAATAATCAGTTCATACATCGTGAACTCGAGGATTTGTACCACTTTAGAATGTTTAATTTAATTATGACAGATATCTTAAATGAGGAAACTTTATGTTTTAGAATAAGCTTGGAAAGCCACAACGACACTGGTATCCTAAGGTATCAGCTAGACGAATCAGTCGAAACAGCTTTCTTTGAAGGGAAAGTAGGACTCAGTTTCTCAACCAAAGTTGTCATAACTCTACAAATCAAGAATCATTTACCGGTGAATCCCTTTTTCAGTGTGTAGTGAATTGCTCCCATTGAGCTAATTACATGTATCTTATCCATGTGAGCCTGTGAACATGAATTGATGCGCTGATGTAAAGACTTTAAAAGTTCATTAATAACGTGATTTTACTCCACTTACTACATAGTGGTTATCAAGAAAAAGCCAGAATATAGGTGTGTATGTTGATTAATATCGGTCTTGGTGATCTATTGAACGGTGAATACTCACCTCTTCACCTATTGGCAATCGAAGTTTTTAGAAGTAAAGATTAAAATACTGAATCTTTGTATCTGGAAGAAATATGTGCATTGAACTCGTTTAATTTTTGTTTTATAACTTCTCAGTTTCACAATCATGTTTATTTAGTCTGTTTCTGTCAAATATTTCTGAATATTGGGTTTATGTGAATAAATGGTTTTAGTTCACAAGGGGAAATTTTTTCAGTAACCGAAATCAGTTAGACAACCCTTGAAGATGGTAAAACAATGGGTATCTATTTCCTCTTAGTTCGGCAGTGTTCATGTACTGAACCGTCTTTATGGGATAAAGGACATTACCATTCAGACAGCGGATTTGAGTCCGATGATCCATAAATTGTAACCATTTTTAAATTCACCACTGTCATCTGATGTCATCGACGTTGTTTGTATTTTAACATCCGACTTTGTGTATCCCATCTCTCACTATTTCTCAGTATACATTCATTTACTGAAATCAATTGCTGATGTACCATACTGATTAAACAAAATAACTCAATAGGAAAAAACTAATAGTCAGTGATGATGATTGATGTGCGTCAGTGGTACAGCAGTTAGGACTCTCGTCCGGTTGTGAGACCTGGCCACTGAGAGTGGAAGACATGAAAAGACTAGCTGCCTTTGATCATAGGTGCCTGCGTTCTATTTCCCGTGTAAAGTGGCATAATAAGGTGAGCAACATGGAGGTTAGGTGTAGAGTTCTAGGTAAACAGGGGAAATCAATCGACGAAGTCGTGAAGCTACATCGACTGAGATGGTTAGGACATGTGTTACGTATGCCAAGTCATCGCCTCCCTCGACGAGCTATGTTAGCGGATATAGGGTCAGGCTGGAAAAAAGCTAGCGGCGGTCAAACAAAAACTTGGCATCAGTCAATGAAATCCACAACAGTTGGTCTTAGCCACGTAGGAAGGTGTAGACTTCCAGGCTGGGGTCCTCGGGACGGCAAAAATCTATGGTTGGAAACAATTGGTGACATGGCTCAAAATCGTTCTCAGTGGCGCAGATGCATCCACTCCCTGTGACTTATGATCTTCAATGAAATTGTTTTGTATTTCTTTATTACTCCTTTGTCTCACACCTCTGCTCACTGTTTCTATTATGCTTTTCTTGTACTTTCTTCTCATGCTTCGCGTGCTACACGGAATGTGGCGACTTGAACTTCCGCACATTTGTGCAAAGTTCTATGTCGAAAACAGACAGACAGACTCTCGTCCGGGGTTCGATCCCCGGTCGACACACTCCTTTACCTCGCTAAGCCAGAAATAAAACTGGTAAAGAGAGAAGGTTGGGCATGAGGCTAGCAACCTCATCCTGTAAAAATAAACACCACTGCTACAGAAACTTCAAGCCACTGGCTTGAAGCCTTATGTTCCACTGGGAACGTGAAGGAATAAAAAAGGTGATGTTTTGCCATAATTGTAAATAATACCTCATACATATTTCTTGTGTAAGTGTCAAAATCATCATAACAATCATACACAAGAAATAATTTCTCGTCATTGTCACTTTTTTTCATTCCTCTGCCGTCTGAGTGGAACATTTGGCTCCTGACCTGAAGTTGCAGTAGCCGCTGTGTTGTTTTCACAGGTGCGTTTGCTGGCCTCACTCTCACTCTTCTCTCTTTCCAAGACACTTACTATCAGCCAGTAAACTACTTGATGTTTGGGAGTACATTGAGCGAGAATCGAAACCTGAACCATGTACCTATTTGCAGTGGTTGATAGTCACTGACAATGATAAGGTGAAGTTGATTGTTAAATAGACTGTTGGGTGTGAAGTTTTATTTCATAAAATGATAGTCGGTTATATCATTGTTTGTTATAGCAGTAAATATTTCTTCTCCATTTTTTGTGTATTTTTTTATATTTTTTGGCCTACTCCATTCACTATCACTTACACTCGTTTCATATTTGACACTTAGTTCATGTACAGATTTAGAATCATTGTTACACATTATCGATGAAGTCTGCAGCACAACAGAATCTAAATTTTATACAGAAACCACAACTGGATCACGTTTATTCAATCGGTCTACAACAGAATCTGAATCTTATTCAAGGCATAATTCACAACACCGGTGTGAGCAACAGTCACGTGTAGATAATATTGGTGACTTAGCTTCTGCATCGTATAACCCTAATGAACCAAAAAGGGCACACAGTGAATTATCTTCAATGCATAACTACTTTTCTAATGTTAATTCACCTCAGCAATTATCTGTCACAAATGCGTCTGTTGAAATTACTAGTCAAATAAAAGGGAATAACACTAGTTTATCACCAGTAAGTTTTTTTTAAAGTGTATTTCTGTAGTTTATGATTTTGTAATAACGATAACCATCATGTCTAGTCGGTGAGAGAAAGGTGTGACTTTGTTATCATCACTATTATTATATCGCTAGCAAAGACATTAAAGTTAGCTGAAAATCTGCAGTGTTTAGAATTCTGTAATTCAGCAGCTTTTTGTAGAATTGCTTGTTTGATTGGGGTTCAATTTTTCCAGTACTCTGTGACCAATTATCACGCATATATGTGTACTTAGAGATATATATGTTTCTCTATTCTGGAAAATACTTAATCGCTTTCAGGTTAATCCCGTTGACTGATTATGTTGGACTGAGATACTTGGTCTTTGTAGGCATGCTGACTGCTAGTACGAAAGCCTTGATAATGTCTTAGAAGTAACGCGAAGTTATTCTGTTGATTTCTGACTAGCGGTGGGATCTTGGATGCACATTTCGTCCTCTTCATGATTCGTCATCTGGATCTACTAGCGACGGGAAACACAAATTTTAACCTAGGAACAAATACAACTAATATCCGTCGCAAAAGAGTTGGCTTTTGTGATCTTGTAGGTAGTGTTTTGACGTTTGAAGAGATGGATGTAGGGTTTAAGTCTCGGTGGGGAAACCACCACCCATCAGAAATGCACCTACATTCGGTTGAGGATTCCCAACTAGGACGAAACGCACTTTCCTGAATATCACTACTAGTCACTATCAACCCAAATAACTTCATCGTTTACTTATTATTTGACTGAACTTCATGCTGATCATCTGGTAAAGTTACTACCACATATCAGTGTTTGTAAGAACCACCTAAAGCCCCAACTGTAGGTCTAGGTGATCATATAAACTTTCTTTTATGTGTTACAGACCCACGTATATTCTCATTGACTCCTAGTTGCTTTTTGTTTACAGCCAACCTCTTTGATCAGTCTAAAATGTTGTCCAACTAATGTTCTATAGGTCGTTGATTTTACCTACCCGTCTCTCCTCACGTTCATTTCGTCGATATTGTACACTGTCTTTAAACTTTGTCGTACGCTTAGCACATGGGGAGTCAATTTTACTCATTTATTCATTAGAGAAGCTTCTGAGTTCCACTGACACGCCATTTTTTGAGGATAAGCACCGTAGTATCCTTTACTGAAATTGGTGTAAAGCCAGGAGAGCAATACAATGATAAAATTTCCGCGCCTTGTTATTTCCTGGAGCATAGAATCGCTTACGTGACTCGGACTCTATCGCTGGACAATGAATGTTCTGCTGATCATATTGTACTCCTATTTATCCAGTCCCTTAGAAGTTAACACAAAGTTATTTGTTTGAAATGACTTCTCACTGGAACCCAGGTAACTACCTACCTGAATATGACCAATCACTAGTGAGCATCAGGTCAATATTCATGTATTGGTTCATCATTGCCTGATTTTGGTTAGAGAACCATTGGAATGTAAGCACTGGTCACTATCTATGAAGTTTAACTTGGGATTTTTGTCTGAAAATCGCACCTGTGAATATTCAGTCTTCTGATGTTGAACACTTATCATCACTGTTATAATAATTATTATTATTGTCATTATTATCACTAAGATTAATTGATGTGCTTGTTAACTTTTCAAAAAATATGTCTTCCATTTAGAAAAACATGAGTAATGTTCATTCGAATCATTTATGTCGCCGAGAAGAAGATTTTACATCAGAAAGACATTCAGGAGAGCAAATTAAATTTTACGACAGAAATGTCAGCAGACCGATACCAACTCCTCGACTTAGTCGTTCAAATTTTGATAGCAATAATAATAATAATCCTCTTAAATTGTCCAAATCACCTAACTTGCTACAGTCAACACCAATAAATTCCCTCCAGAATGCAAACTGTGATAGAAAACCTGTACATACAGAACTCTATAAATTATTTGAAAACTTTTACAATACTAGTAGTAAACACGCTGATGAACAGAACAAGTGATCAATGACTGATATTGTAAATTCCCCCTTCCATACACACACACACACCGTTGTCTTCCGTTACTCGAGGTGTTTTTTCCTCTTTTGTAGTTTTACCTTTATTATTATTAACACATATTGTTCTTTCCGCTTTTCATGCAACTATGTTTAATTGTGTTTACTTTGTTTCGCATCCTGCAAGAATAACCATCGAAGTGTTCAGTATTTTATTATTTGTTTCAGTTCAAAATTTTTAATTTAAATATCCTGATGTTCTATAATTTATGATAATATTTTGTAAAATTATGATTTCAATGCTAATATTTTAAGTTTTATTTAGGTTTTTTTCACTTCATCTGATACACTTGATTGTATTAACATCCGCCATCGTTTTTATGTACATGTATAAATGTGATATACAGTGGGTTTAATACCTGTTCCTAAAAGTATAATATTATAATTATGTAAGTAAGTTCTTTTTAGACTTTTCTTTTGTAAAGAGCATTTGTAGTAGTTGATTCATACTCCGCCCCCAATCTTAGCATATTGGATGCGTACACGTTCCCCAGTGGAACATAGGGCTTCAAGCTAGTGGCTTAAAGATACTGTAGCGGTGTTTATTTGACAGGATGAGGTTGCTAGCCTCATGCCCAACCATTCCTCTTTACCCCAGCATTATTTCTAGCTTAGCGAGGTAAAGGAGTGCGTCGGTCGGGGATCGAACCCCGGACCATGTGCATGGTCGGCGAGCGTCCTAACCGCTAAGCCACCGACGCACATGCGTACACGTACTAGTTACATATTTAATTAGTAAAATTTAGTAAAAGCTGTGTTTCTTGATGCTCGTGATTTACCAGCTAGATGTGCCTACAGTTCATTTCGCCTTTTTTCAATTCACTTCTCTTTTCTTTTCATATGCTGAATCCATATATATACTAGACTAATACTGCGTTGCGATAACCTTATATCGTCCATCAGGTATTTGCTTCTAAGTAAAAATTTTAGTGAAGCTTAGATAGTGTGTGTCATTGTAGTTGATAATTTCATTTATCATACACGCCAAATACTTATTTTTGATCTTCATTCAAATAAGATCTTAGTTCTAAACACTAATCTCATATCATCAGGGTTTTCATGTGGTTCAGATAATTAGTGCTCATCACTAAATGCATTACCAACAGGCTAATACAGACTTTTATCAGCACCTGCTTCCACTTGATAGTGAAGATCAGATGGTTGAGAGTAGAGTATATGCAATAAGGAACTTCATCAGTGAATCGGTCAAAAAGATACCTAACTTATATGCGCAAGGAAATTGAGGTGAAAAGGGCATACACTTAGGGGACTGTTAAGCGACATTACTTTTCAGGCTATTCAGTGAAGGCTGAATGGGTAGTGATTGGTTGAACGTCTGAAGGTGTCATGATGGAGATCGAATGGAAAGGAAATAAAAGTGATATACAGACATACTTTCCTACATGTCTGGTTTTATTTCTCTCACCCCACTTATGACTTTGAAATCCTATTGGTTGTTGACTGTTTTAAGTTATCAATGTAATTAGTGCTGTTTGAAGCATATTTATACGCAAGTGCTATCAATGATTCTCTCCTTTGATACGAGATAGTTAATGTCAACAGTCAGTCTTCTCTTCTTGCGTTGCGTTTCCGGAGGTATCGTACTGTATTGTTGTTGCTAATACTAGTTAGAACAATAGGCTCGTGAATCGATTAGGTGGGAAATTCACTAGTGCAGTTACAAGTGTATTAACGTCTATATCAAAACGGGCAACCGTATTTTTCACAAAAAACTGTGGATAGTTGCGAAGACAATTGAGAACGATGGTGAGGAACCTAGTGGAGTGGAAATATGCCATTGAGACCGTATGTTCCTCTCGGAACCCAAGGAATCAGTAAGGTAGGAATAGTACTAAATTAAGAATGAACGTGTTATTATTCTTCTAATAACATTACATTTAGTCACAATTTTATAATATGGTGAAAAGTATCTCTGAGTTCAATTTATTGCACTAGTAGTAATGAATTAAGTCGTAGCTGTGTTCAAAAGATGAAACTAGTTAGTTATTGCCACTATATATTTAATTTGATGAAGGATTTCATCATGAGCTGATATCACTTAGAGAACCACTGGAAAACCTGGGAGTACTGGACAATTGTTTCATCTTAGTTTGGGACTATTCATTAGTACACATCTAGGGTTCAAACCCAGGACCTTCTGGTTACAAAGCGGGCTCGTAGACCATTCAGCCACTGGGACCCGATCCAATAACCCAGATGAATTCCAGCTCCTGCGAATTCACGATACAACGCGACTATTTCGCGATATCTTCTTCGATGAGTTACTGCCCCATCTTCAACCTAATGTACCCTACTGATCACGGCTTCCCACTAGAACCCCAGGTCACTGCATGAATAGAGCTTGCCTTGTAACGGGAAGGCCCCGGTTTCGAACCCCGGTGGCTACGTACTGGTGAAGAGGCCCGAACTAGGACGAGACAGCTATCCAGTACTCCCAGGTTTTCCAGTGGTTCTTTAACTGATGTCAGCTCATGATGAAATCTTCCATCCAATCAAACAAATCCCTACACAAACCAATACTTGAAAGTTATACATTTAAATCTATTTCCTCATTCTCTATTCTTCTTTTTCTTAACTTTATGTCTTGACGAATCGTTACATTCGTCTTTCCTCACTTACATTACAAAACAGTGTTTATTGACGTGTTTTTATGCAGCTACTCTGTGTATAATTTCGTTTTCAGAAGATAAATTTTCAGCATGACGTATTGTGTCAATTAATGTGGTAGTCAAGTTGAACATGTGATTTCTAGATTTCAGTGACACGACGCACTATCTGATAGAAGGTGCTTATACATCATCATCTAAATAATGTAATCGTAAGTTCTCGGTTCCAAGTTTGACCTATGTATTTGACCTGGCAATCATTGCTGGCAAGGTATTAGATAAACTAAATTGTTTTAAAGACTCCACAGGATTGATCCCTTAACCGACAAAAATTCTTTCTGATTGAGTTTGTGGTTGGTGTGAATGCCAGTCACTTTTATTCCTGCCTTGTTAAGAATTCTACGTAGGTTTTACGAGGTTCCTTCCTTGTATGAAATTACTACTGATGATTTAGATTCTTTATTGATAGTGTTGTCATTATCCTGTGCATGTTTGACATGCATGTCGTCCTTGATATTATTATTATTATCACCATCACTTCTAACATTATTGATTTTATTTTTACATTTCCCTACATAGTTCTTGACTAATATATCATGGTAGCAAAAAAAATTTAAGACAGGAAGTCACACATATAAGAGAAGCCTTGAAACTTAATAATAACCCTAATGAATTAGTCAAGAACCATGTAGGGAAATGTAAAAATAACATAAATAATGTCAGTAGCGATAGTGATAATAATAATGATAATATTAATGACGACACTAACAATAAGGAATCTAAATCATCAGTAGTAATTCCATACAGAGAAGGAACCTCAGGGAACCTTACGCAAAATTCTTAACAAGGCAGGAATAAAAGTGACTGGCATTCAAACCAACCACAAACTCAATTAAAAAGAAACTTTGTCGGTTAAGGGATCAATCCTGTGGAGCCTTTAAAACAAAACAATTTAGTTTATCTAATACCTTGCCAGCAATGATTATCAGGTCAAACTAGTAGAACAGGTGCAGTCAGACTAGTCGAAAATAAAAACCTAGCAAAATCTAGATTACTTGACCCGAATAGGATAAGAAATCTAGAGAATAGTTCAGCTATAGCACTACATGCAGTTACACACAACTACACAATAGGATGGATGGGATAGGATGACAGTTTTAAAATCTGATGTTACAGGTTGGAGGGAGAGATTGATAACAGAAGCTTTGTTTATCGAATCAACTGCAAATACGGGTAGTAGGAATGATTCAACACTTGTCCCAGATATCTGGAAGATTCTACTAGCTCTACGACAGACAGGAGAAGACAAATAAAACTCAAGTTTCAAACTCGTGTGATTATAATTGATGAAATGGTTATGAACAATAGATTTTGTTCGAAACGTCATCCAGTAAATAATACTGTCTCTCCACTGTGTGATACATCTAATAAACAAACTAATATGGAACAAACAGTTTTCTTAATGTCATTCATTATTCAGTGAGAAATATCATTCCACTATGTGATATATCTAGTGAATGCATTCATGTTAAATGAAATGAGAAGATATGTTGGTCAGCTGGAAGTTATCTATGTGGATGACTTTTGTTTGCCTGACTGTTAAAGTGCAAAGGTTCCACTGTTATTCTAGACAACATTTCACCATATTGTGGAAATATATACTGCATGTACAATACACAATAACCAGTCGAAAAATTCTGTGATATGCTTCACGTTAAATTCTGATTCTTGTTTTATCTGGCTTTCACTATCCTGTACACCTACATTTTCTCAAGAATATGAATAAATAAAACATCGGATGTAAATGCATAGATCGAGTTGAAACATTTCATTTCAGTGACATGCATTACTTGGAAACCGAATACTAAAAGAAGGGATGTTAGAATAAAATGGGAGAATGGTGCGAATTGAGAAAACGTTTCTAAGGCAATGAAGTGTAAGTGAATGCTTCCATCCTACTGAATTCGTGATGTGAAATACATTTATGAAGCTAAGTACTATACGGTTACCTGAAACTATCAGCTAGAAGAAGCACTGGAATTTAAAAAATGAAAGGAGGACTTTATGAATAAAGGATAGTTCTATTCTCTTGATAACTGACAAACATGTTAATACGTATCATAGAGAAGATTTGTAGCTCAGGTGGATGATTTTGATGTGGTTTTGTTCTCTGAGCTGGATGGTTAGTTTGCGAAGCTTTCATCACCTTACTGGGTGACATCTTCAGCGCATACTTCAATTTGAAGTGAGCTTTTAGATTTCTCCACGAGTTTATTAATCATCTCTCCTGGTGACCTTGGACGTGATTGGTTGTTTGTGT